GACTTCACGGTGGAGATCGGCCATTTCATTGCAAGCAGTGTGGGGCATTGTTTGTGCAAAAATCACATTTAAATGCACATCAGAAGGAGCATCATCCGTGAAAGACGTCTGCAGTGTAGTGAAGTGCGGTGTCGCTCAACATATTTGTACAGTGTCGTTTTACCCTTTTATTCAAGACCATCTTGAGTGGACTTGTCAGCTGATCGCCCATTCCGAGTCATCTATGATCTACCAACACTGACTGCCATCTATTACTCGAGATTCGGGACAGCAAAGAGAACTATTACTGATAAAGAAAACCTCAGTGCCCACTGGAATTTGTATATACCATATTTTCCTGTATTTAAGTTACACCTTTGCATATGTGGCACCTCCCTGTAAACTGCAGTTTTCAATAAAACGCCACACATTTATACGAGTCTCACCGATATATTTGCGTGATTGACACAGCAAAGATTGATTGAAAAGCCTCCATGTGTGTATTATGATTGCAATATATCTGCAAGCAAGAGCAAGTTTCAATATTCTCGTCAACGAATTGAACGAGAAATATAACCCCTGTGGAAAATTTTCATAGTTAAGACTCATATAAAAAATATTGTATATAAGTTCCATCATTGTATAAAATGTACCGATAGAAATTCTTTAAAAACAAAATGACTCGTACTAGGAAATACGGTAGGTGCATTTTAGTTCTGCCATGCCCCAGAGTACTTTATTTTCTACCATTCCTGGATACTTTACGTTCAACACTTGTGATGGACTGAATCTGCCAAACTTCAGATTTTGCAAGGTTTGGCAAAGACTGAACTTTTGAAGGAAAGTTTGGCAAAGATTCGGCAAAAATTCGGCAAATGTCTGCGCATGTGCAAGAGCATGATGAGGCCGTGGATTGCAAATGGATGCCGTCCAATCGTGTGGTTACCATCGTGCAGTGTAGTACAACCAGTGCCAGCGGCGCGGTGAGAAGTAGGCAACACGGTAACTGCGCGTTTGTGAGCGAGTGTGGTTCTCTTCGATCATTATTTTCTGCCTCAAGAATAGAAGATTGACCAGTAATTTATGCAATCCACTGCGCGAGTGACAAATGATGCGGTAGATTCTGACTAAAGTGGTTTTCATTTGACCTTTCCAGTGATGCAACGAGGTAGTTGAAACATTGGCTGACAATTACTTTAAAGAGCTCCTCACAATTATAGCAATCCTGTTTTCGGCTCAGAAGTGGTGTGTGCAAAAACAATATAATATTGGTTTTTCAATTAGCGTTGTTTCATGATTTTCATGTATCTGCATAAAACTAAACACAGAACTATAATGCTCGACGTTGCACATCCGACATTCCCCATCTTCCTAAACTTCCGTGTGTGTCCCAACACCAGAAACCAGCATTTTAAAGGTTAAAAACGAGACGTTGCGAATATGGGACGCACACTTTCATGCAAAGCTGACGTCAAGTGACTGAAATCGAAAAACATGCATTTTTACAATATTATTATTCTCTCTTTTGGTGAAGGCTCAGCAACCGTTGCATTTGATTTTGTACACGAAACGGTGACTCCCTGGGAAAGCAAGAACGCAGTGTTATTGCCTCTGTTTTGACAATGTACACACACTTGCAGGCTTGCGCTGATGATGCCTCATTGAGTTCACTGGGTGAGCGTTTGTTGCCTTGTCTGGATGAGGTTTGATTAACTGTGGTTTGATCATCTCTAGCTTCTGGACAGCGACTGAATCAATCAGCCAAACTCGTCTTAACTGCAACTTCGTGTCTACGTTCAATGATTGCACGATTTCCTGCAGTTTGAATATGTCGCCTGATGTTCAGGGAGTGCTGCGGGTGTGCTTTTTCCCGACATGTTGGCCCAAATGCTTTGTCATTCAACTTGGCATTTCTAGATTCGAGGCAGTTCCTTTCTGCTCCTGTTCACAAAACAGCTCGCACCGTGCGCCAGACTCTGCTTTCACTTCACGCGGGTTTGGTTTCTATGAACATGCAGTGCTCACACCTGGTGTGGACAAACGTGAACTCGTTTGAAAGCAGCATGTCGGTCTACAAGGAAATCCTTGCTAACTCGAGTTTTAGAGCTGCCATGACCAAGTTGTTTTTGGTACAGTGTCCTACACAATTTTTTGTTGATGTTGCCATGTCTTTGTTTTTTATTTTTATTCTTAACTAGCACACCACACTCCTCTGTAATTCCTTTGGACCTAAAGGCCACTGAATAAATAAACACGAGGAGAAGAGTGAAAGTGCCAAACAGATACAACCCGGCATTTGTTCGGTTCTTTTACTCTGTACCTGTTTTTTTTTTTTTTTTATTGGAATACCAAGTATTATCTAGTTCAAGTTCCTACATTGCTGCAACCTAATAATACAGCATCAATATAGCCTATGTCTTTGGTGCATGTTTGTTTAACAACCTTTTGTAACAATACGCCAGTAGTTGTGCACAGTAATGCCCCTGAAGACAGCACTAGTAAAATATCTCTAACAGGGCAGCTTGCACCCGGAAACAAATCATTGGTGACCTGGCACAGTTTCCAGATGTTTTCATTGGGCACAAGTACTGCAAGTTTACATTGATTTGGCTGATGAGGTGGGAATATCTCTTGCTCTGTACTTTTGTGTATAAAAGTACCATGTTGCAAGTTGCTTTTTTTTTTTTGCTGCTGTTGTAACCCGTAGACATTCTGAACACAGTGACATGTTCATTAATAAGCTCCCAATTTTTATTTGCAGCTCAATCTTTCGCATTGTCTCGGAGCGAAAGCAGCGAATCTGCACATTGCTACTTCGTAGAACGAAGCACCCACCGGTCAGGCTAACTCCCGGCAGCTTCGATTCTTTGCATGGATTGTGTATTCATATATATGCGACGTCTTTGGATCAGATCGGATGTTGCCGTGTTTTGGCCAGTTGTGTCTAATTTATCATCCGCTTTTCTAACCCCAAATAGCTGACCCGTCTAATCCAATACACTGACGTCACATCTCTGTAAACAAAACCAATGTGGTTAAGTAGCCCTCCCTCTAAAGGACTTCCCCTAAATGACTTTTTCTAAAGTACATACCTTTAAAAAACATGCAAAAGAAAATTAATTTTTTTAATCAGGTTGGATGAAAAATGGATGTTACAAAATGAATTTACAACGAAAAAGCATTTCTTTTAAAACTATATTTACAGCGCAAAACAAATTTGTAGGAGGCGCCTACGGGAGCATACGGAAAAGTGACTACTAGAGTCACGTAAGTGGCCACTATAGTCACATGGTGCTTGCACTCCTTTGGAAGCTTCCAGTGGGCTCTAAAAGTTACTTATTAATTTTCTTTTTACGTGCAAAAAAATGCAAAGATTAAAAGGTAACTTCTAGCGCCTATATGAAGCTCCCGAAAGAGTGCAAGCACCACGTGATAGACCTGTACGCCGGTCAGAAATTGGTTGCAGCGGCGTGCCAGAGTGTTCTCTTCTGGCGGCGGCGTGAAGAAACGTCACTAAGCAATGATGATAATAATTTTTGCAGAAATTTTCATATTTTTAAAATTTTTTTATCAGGATAGGACTTGCGAAGGTTTTTTGTTTTATTTGAAACAATATTTTAAATTACTTTCCTGGAGTACAAAGAAGAAAAAAAACGTAATCAGCCGGCAGCGCGCCACGCTCAGCGTGTGGCGGCGGCGGCGGTGATGGTATGGTGCCGGGAACGGGTCTCTGACTGGCGTATTTATTGCGTGCAAAAAAGTGGTCCCTCAATTTCCACCTGATGACGTCATAAAAATGTCATGCTGTCGCCAGTGGCGACCTTGGCGGTGTCCCAACAGCTGTGGTGGATGTGTCGGACGCCTGTTTTCCTGCAGGTCGGTTTCCACTGTGGCAATCCACAGATGCTTCGGCAGCCAGAATTTGGGGCGCCATGACTGAAGCGACACTCGCGTTCGGTTGCGCTACTCGCAGCTTCTCGTTAGAATTCGTACGACCAACCGCCAGGATCGCGACAGGCAACGGCGTGACACTTCGGCTTCTGTGACATCATTTGTTGCCACTTCGGAACCACTTTTGAAGTATGGGCAGCATAGGACGCTAAACACATCAGTCATTGAAGACGCGCTCCAGTCACCATAGTGACGGAGGGTTCTTGGGACTTCAGCGACAGCGCTGAACGGCTTCGTCGTAACTTGCGGCAGCAGAGGCGCACAGGTCTACCGAGTGACTAGTGGTCAGTCACGTGACTGCTATAGCCACTTTTTCGTGAGCTCTTGTGGACACCAACTACAAATTTGTTTCGCGCCGTAAATCTAGCTCAATCTTTTTTTTTTGTCAATTTTATTTATGACATTTTTATTCCATATAGGCTGTTTAAACTTTTTTTTCGCATGTTTTTTAAGAACTTTTCCTAGAGGTCTGCATCTTTTTTTTTAGCAATATCAGATAGTGGCCTGTCAGTTTATATCCTATTACATCCATGTCGCCCCAGTCCAGGCGTTTTGTCATGCAGGCGTTTTGTCTTGTCATAGGCGCCCCCCCCCCCCCCCCCCGAAACAAAATCCAGCCAGGATTTTGTTTCGTGGGGGGGAAGATTTCGGGGGGGGCCTGGGCCCCATGGGCCTCCCCCCTGGCTACATACCTGTCCTAGTCCTTCTTACAGGAAATATGCTGACTTGTTTTGCATTGCCTCCAGTCATGTTTTTTTTTCATTATGTGTTGCTGGTGTACAAAATTGTTCTACTGTAATATCCACAGAGATAGCCCACCTCCCGCCGTTGTTAAGTAAGAGCGTTGTTGCCGGGGTCAGCATTGGCCAGAGCCCTGTAATTACTAGAAGTGGACTATCTTTCTGTGTTTCAGGAAAAATAGCAAATCATGCCAAAAATAGAGGGTGCGCTATCTTTCGGGGGTGGGGCCGCTCTTGGTATATTATGGCATATATTCAGTGATGATATCATTTCTTCTGTTCATGCTTTCCCGGCTTTACCACGTTTTGGTTTAAATGTTCCGTAATAGTATGTGGGACCTGACTATCACTGGAGAGTTTCTTGCACTGTTAGATATTCTCAAACACCACCAGTGGCTTGGTTCGCGGAAATCGGCCTTAAATCTGGATATTGTGTGCCATACCATTGTATTGAGATCTACCATGTTTGTCTATTCAGCCTCTTCTAAGCCTTGTTGTAAAAATCTTACCATTTTCTCGAAGAAAATCTAAGGAATGCATAGGTTAGGGAGGGCTTCCCCACCACCGCCCAACTTTTGGCATGACCAGTTCTTTGCAACCATCACCACCAATGTGACAGCATTAGGATTAAGTGTGGCCCAAGCATGGAAAATTACAGATAACTGCTCCAAACCAAACTACCACACTAGATCCAGTGCTCATGTGAATGAAACCAGTTTGAAACTGCTGTGTTAAAATCGTTACCTTTTCCTTTAGCCGAGTGGCCTGTAGCTCTCGATGCAGGGAACACCTACAAGTTTTTACTAGTGTATAAGATGTTGTTACAAGGCTGCAACCACTATTTCAATGCCAGCTCACTATTTGGGTGACGGGAGAATAGAAGTAGAAACTGAAAATTTCAAGTGTTCATCAGGCACGAAATAGAAAAGTTAGCTGAATGCTTTGAAGTCTTTAGGCGCTGAATGCCCGAGTTGTATTTAGTTTTAGTATGGAGAAGGCGCTGCACTCTTAAAGCATTCTATGTATGAAATCTGTCTTTAAAGAGAAGCTGAACTCGCACAAAAACATTTTTTAAGGGCTTGGTTTAGGTATGTACGGTAGAATACCGTGCATCCGCCCATTCCACATTAACCGCCCATTCCCAAATTTGTAAGATCTGAGAAAATGCGCACAGTACATTTATATGTAAAATTTATGACCGGACAAGCGCCCATCTCCCATTTTCTTGTGATTATCTCCAAAGTTTGGGTGAGCACTTGCCCGGTATTTTACGGTACATCAGAAAATGTACTTTTCCTCAAAAAATATTAATGCAGTATTTATGTTGTGAGACAGAATTGGAATTTGGAACAACACCGAAACGTGGTTTGCTTTCTAGACGTTGACCCTGAAACAAAAGCATGTTTGGGAATTGCTCCTAACTCAAAGTGAGCCTAATGACGTAAATATTGCTCTAAATATTTTGTTCCTTTTTCAAAGAAGTTTATTTTGTGACAGATGTGTTCTCTCCAGGCACTACAAAACTGTTTCTTGGGAGTGCGGCGTTCGTTTAAGTTAATGACCTTCTCCCACCGCGCCTGTGTTGGTGCTCAGGTACACTTTAGCCTTCGAGCTGCTTCTCTTGGTAGAAGAAGAGCCCGAAGAATAAAGTTGGACTTGTTTTTCTTGCAGGGCCTGTCCCGAGAGTCATTAAAGCCGAAGAAAAGGTTCCTGGCTGTGAAGACGCCAAGGGCAAACACTCTTCTGAGAATGACTTGTTCCCTGCGTGGCAGAAGATAGTGCCCCCACACCGAGAAAAGAAGTATGAGTGCCGGTTCTGCCCTTTCTCCTGCGCCGAGACAACGGGCATCAAGAAGCACGAGATGACGCACACAGGCGAGAAGCCCTTCAGCTGCCGTGTCTGCCACAGAGTGTTTGCACTGAAGTTTAACCTGAAGGTTCACGAGAGAATTCACACGGGTGAAAAGCCATTCAGGTGCGAGACTTGCCCGAAGGCGTTTTCACACAAAAGCACCCTCCAGGCTCACGTGAGAATCCACACGGGGGAAAGGCCGTTCAGGTGCCAGACTTGCCATATGGCTTTTGCGGGTAGCAGCGACTTGATGCGTCACAGAAGGGTCCACACAGGCGACAAACCGTACAGGTGCGGAACTTGCGGGGCTGCCTTTCAGCGGCGGTTCCAGTTGAAGTGTCACGAGGGACTTCACGGTGGAGATCCGCCGTTTCATTGCAAGCTGTGTGGAGAAAAGTTTGTGCAAAAAGCTTATTTAAATATACATAAGAAGGAGCGTCACTCATGAAGTACATCAGTCGTATAGTAAAAGGTAGTGTAGCTTGACGTGTTTGTACAGTGTCGTTTTACTTTTTTTATTCGAGACCACTTGTTAACTGATCACTTATTCATGAATCATCTATGATTAGGGTTTCATGTTTTCGGAGTTTATTTTTTTCTCGAATTTGGGAGTTTCTTTTTTTGGCGCTTTTTGTGTAAATTGGTTATGACTTAACCAATTTAGACAAAAACACCGAATCTGCGGGGAAAATTAAACAAAAAAAAATTACCCTAAAGTCGAAAAAAAAAGAAACTCCGAAAACACGGAACTTTATGATCTACCAATACTCGCCGCCATTTGACACATACTGTGAGGACTACAGAGTGAACCATCATGAAAGGCGCACTCACACCGGCGATGTAAGCAATCGCGCGATGCGACTAGATCGCATCGCAAAAAAATTAGATGGCCACACTGGCGTGCGCAATGAGCGAGTCCAACGCCTTCGTTGGCGAGTCGCTTCTCAAAAGCTCACACTTCGAAAACCGTTGATTGGCTCAGCTGCTCTGCAACTGGATTACTTTGCAAAGTCTGGTTTGCAAGCGACTGCTCAAATCGCGTCGCTTTTTTCCCGCGATGGTCGCTTTTGCGGTGAAAGTTATTGCGCAACTAGACCGCATCGCCAGTGTGAACGGGCCTTTATAGAGAACCCCTCAGTCCCCATTGCAACGAGCATATACCATATTTTCCAATATATAAATCACACCTGTGCATAAACACCCGTCCACACACTTGCGACTTCTTAAGTCCGAGTGCCTTGGAACCTCTTAATATCTCTTACGACGAGAGGACACACTGGCACCATCTATTGGGTAGCAGTGACAACTTGGCAGTCCCGCACATTTTCTATTTTTCTCGTGCACGCCCTTTTTTTCTTGGCTCGAAAAACTTTTGTCGACGTCATAAACGACCACTTCTTTTAGGTATGGCGCACATTTGACATCGGAAATCCCGCAAAACCTTCTCTCTAGTGAAAAGCAGTTCCAGAGTAGCTGCATGGACGGTGCCAGCATGTTCTGTTCTAAGAAGTTTTAAGAGGTTTCAAGGCCCTCGGTTCTAAGGAGTTGCAAGTATGTGAACAGGCCTTTAGTCGCGCCACACTTTAAAACGGCTGTTTTAAAGCGCTGGTATATAGGTAGGGTTCCGTGTTTTCGGATAAATCCGAAAAAATCCGAAAAACACTCGCCGGTAAAATTTTGGTCAATTCGGATTTATCCGATAAACTCCGAATATTTATGTGTCAATGTCACTCCCCCGCCCCCCGGGCAAAAAAAAAAAAAAAGATAAGACTTTTTTTTTTTTTTTTTTTTACGGTTTGATTTGCTCAGAGCCAATGGTCCTGGGAAAATTCCACCATAATTATCTTTCAAATCTTGGACTGTTGTCAAAAGGGGTCTTGCCGCTTGTCTCTTCAAGGTTGATTCAGGGCAACAGGTCGTCCGTTGTACATTCGGGGCACGACAAAAGCCACTCTTCTGACTTCCAGTTTGGGCCATGCGATTTGTGATTTAGAGAAAGGAAAGGGTATGTATTGGCAACAGTGAAAGCTATGGACCATAGGGATTGTATAAAATTGGGAAGAGGGGCAGTTCAAACTCTCTATTACCTTCTTAACCACTCCACCTTCCGCGGCCGCCGGCTAGATTGATGGAATAGGATGGGATGACTGCGAGCTTCCTAGCGACTACCTCCGGGAGTTTATTGATTTTAAGGTATCGGCATTTATCGAAGCGCCACTTGTGTGTGACTTTTGTCGTGGATAAATTGTATTGCCAATGGCAATGGCACCAACGCCAAATTCAACTGAAGATACTTCAATTGATACAAGCGCGTTTTATTTTTTATCTGGCATACGCTTACATTCGGTTATTATTTATTTTTAATAGGAGACACAGCGAAATTAAACTCCGAATTTTGAAGAATTGGGAATCAAAAATATATAAACTCCGAAACTTCGGCAAAAAATAAACTCCGAAAAACACCCTCCGAATTTGACGAAAAATATACTCCGAAAACACGGAACCCTATATATAGGCCACACTTTTATACCAGTCGCACCTATATATTTGTATGATCGGCACGGCAAAGATTAATTAAAAAGCCAGCATGTGTGTTATGGTTGCAATATATGTGCAAGCGAGAGCAAGTTTCTATAATCTTGTCAAAGAATAAATTGAGAAATATAACCCGTGGCAAATTTTCATAGTTAAGACTCGTATAGAAAATATTGTGTATAAGTTGCATCATTGTATAAAATGCACCGATGGAAATTCTTTAAAAACAAAACGACTCGCACTGGGAAATACGGTAGGTGCATTTTTGTTCTGCCATGCCCCAGTGTGCTTTACTTTCTACCATTCCTTAATACTTCAAGTTCAATACCTTTTGTGACACTGCACTCAAGCTGCTAGGCACCTGCTGAAGCAAATGTAGAGCATAAAATGAAACCAGAACTTCCCATTAAATATTTTGAAACCAGATATTTCTGCGCAGCATGTAGTCTTCAACCAGTTCTCTGCACAGTTCCTTCAGCATAATGTTATTGAAGTAACAGTACTATTTGATTATCTGAACTAAGCTTTACCATCTACGATTCATTCATTTATGTAAATGATTCTCCTCGTAAGTATGCACTTGTTTTGGTTGTTTTTATCTTGCATAACTTTTTTGTATGTTGATGCAATCTTTTTTGTGTTCATGTTTTTCATGCCACACAGCAGATCAGCAGAGGTCTGTGGTCATGAAAAACAAAGTAAATATTGTCTTCTATTCCTCAGTAATCTCATTTGTGTCAGAAACCTTCCAGCATAGGAATGAACTATGAAAAGCAAACAATTACACTTGTTTGTAGGCTTATCGTTACACCCATTTATACATTGCAGCGAAATACTTTGTGTTTGATAAGGTAACTACTAGGTTCAATCAAGACCATACATTTCAGTATGCATTGGTTACCATTACAAACACAGTCAGTCCTGTCAAACAAAATATGTCATGTTCTTATTCGCAGCTGTCCTGTGGCGTGGAATCACCTGGCCAGATCCAAATCCTTGTTAACTCGAGTTTTCAAGCTGTCAAAACTAAGCATTTTTTGGTAACATGTCTTACAGTTGTGTGTTTTTGTTGATGTCGTGGTCTTTGTTTTTTTCTTATTTATATTCTTTTGTAACCCAGCACACTCCTCTGTAATGCCCATGGTCCTGTAGGTAACTGAATAAATAAAAGGAAAGAATGGAAGTGCCAAACAGATACAACCCTGCATTTGTCCAATTTTACTCTGCCCGTTTTTTTTGTCAAAATACCATGTCTTACATAGTTCAAGTTCATACATTGTTCTGCAGCCTAATAATACTGCATCAATATCATTTCTCGATGCGATAGCTCTCTTTCCAAAGAAGAACCATTCTCACAGCCAGGTCGTGCACAGGAGGCACCGTACCAGCCATGCCGACTGCACATTGCCTTTCGGAGTTGAAAGGTCAAGGGCACATCACTGTTGGAGGGACTCGCGTGCCGATACCTGCGGATTTTCATTGTGATGGTAGGCGGGGTCCTCAGAGCTCTGGGACAACAACGAACTGCAACAGTTACGGCGGTCCGCCTTTTTTTCGTGAGAATTTCACCGCATCATCGCATCTCGGATGTGGAATTCGATCAAGGACCTAGGAGGTAGCAGCATGAAGGCACCATTATGTTGCTATGCTGTCCTGACCAACGTCGATTGTGTATCCTCACCGACGTCGGTTTATCCTTACTAAGGTCAGTTGTAGGTCGGGGCCCCATCCCTGACTAACAACTCGCGTTTTAATACATCTGAATAACAATGAGGAGAAAAATGTGAGGGAGATATAAAAGGAAACAAACGAGAAAGAAGACAAGTGTGTACAAATGCACCCACTTGTTTGCGTAAACTCGAGTCCCGAGGCGGTTCCACGACTAGAACTTGAGAGAACTATACGGCGAGCAAGTTTTCTAAAATACGTCTTTGGTGCGTCACAACACGAAGAGGGGTGCGCCAATCAAAGGGCAACAATTAATGGGTAGATAACGCACATTGACTCGGCAGCCAAGCTCGTGCCATCATTGGTTGAAATTGGGGTAAACAAACACGGGAGGTGTGCGAGGAGTTGATGAACTTGCACGCCATACAGTGAAACCCGTTTAGAACGAACCCACATACAGCGAATTATTGTCAATATCGAACTCACAGAAAATCTAAATAAAAATGCAAGTAAAAAGTATGTTTTATAACGAACAACGTATTGGCTATATCAAACTTTTTCCCCCTGGGAAGGCTTCCAAATACGCGCAAACAATTGCCTTCTCTTCTGTCCCTTCCCCCAAAAAAGTAGGAAAGAAAGAAAATTCCAAAAGCTCAAGTTTCAAACAAAATTGAGCAACGAGAAGCAATTCGGAAGGAGAGACAGCTAAAAATACACTGCACGCACACAGAAAAAAAAAACTTTTCATCCCAAAGCGTTTGCCCACTTAGAGAAGCGATTCAGAAGGGAATATAAGCTAAAAAAACAAACCCTGCATGCATGCAAAAAAAAAAAATTTTCAGCGCGGTGTTACAAGGCGGAGGTGAAGAGATGAGAAAGAAAGAGAAGCTCTCGCCTTACAACGAACTCATTGTGGAAGTTCGTTGTAAACGTTTTTCGCTATATCGAACTACTTGGTATATCGAACTAATCGTAGCATTTCCTGCTGTTCGTTATGAATGGGTTTGACTTTATATGAAACCCAAGTCTGTCATTCTATTCCACGGGAGGTGCAAGGGTCGGTGCCTCTTCCGTGACAATTTTGGCAAAGCAATTGTTCTACTTGAACCTCTGCTCGAAAAGCTATGCAGATATCAACCTTTATTTTATTTGCGATATTTCTTTGGGTTTTATTTGTTTGCCAGTTCATTTTTAAAGCTTTTCTTTCTTTTTTGTTCCTTTTACATAAAGTTTAACATTTATTTTACTTTATATTTATAGTAATTTTTATTCCACATTCATAGCTCTTTTGTCTTTCTCGTTTGCTTCCTTTTACACCTCCCCCTTTTTTGTTCTGCTTATTCTTGTGTACTAAATCTCAGTTGTTAGTCAGCTCAAATCCTATCCACTTCTGCTAGTCCTCGCCACTGCTGCAATTTCATTAGATACATGAGTTTCAATAGTTTTCACTCCTTAAAACTTAGAAAACCGACGACGGAGCGTTGCCCCTCTTCGGTGCACGTTTCAAATGGGCGGCCATCTTTACGCTGCTATTGTGACATCATGCTGGTTGTCTGCATTGTGTGGACTCCTGCTAGACACTTGCAGGACGATGGCACCATATTTAAATGTGTTGGTTCATTCTTAAGCTTTTCATTTGACTCTTCCTACTACTAAAATACTATACCCTCGAAAATTCGGGCTTGCTGCGTACAGGTGCCAATTTTCGGCCGGCCGTTCTACAGTGAGCCTCAGGATTGAACTCTCCCCATATTATGAAGATCGGTGAACATGTCAAAAAGAATATATGGCAAAATCGAGGATCCTTTTGTTGGAAGCCCAACATATGCACCCCCCAATCCAAAATACAATGCATAAAAGCGGAAACTGTATGAGAATCATTTTAATTTGCCTAGCCAAGGCATGCGCAGAAGTGTCAATTATAAAAAAATACAATGTAGAACCCGACTACATGTGACACATGCACCAAAACCCTATAAAATATAATCCTCGAGTAAAAAATAGACTCGACGCCGGCTGTAAATGAGTGCCGCAATTCGACGGCTGCAAACAAGCGCAGACCCAACTTCACTTCAACAGCGCCACTTCGTACAGGTAAGCCGCCAGCAACTTGGTCTGCAAAGATCAAGAAATGAGTAATGTTACCACGATGACAAATTTTTCGCGGCACGCAACGAAAATGGTATGACGTCATCAAGAAGGGTATCCGAAAACGAATTTGAGCAGCGACATTTCGGAATGGGCAATTCTAGATCTACCGAGTGAGCTACACTTGCGTTACCGGCACTCCGCTCCTCGACTGTCGAGTGGGCGCCGCCATTTTGGTGCTTTGTGCAGGGTGGCTGCAATTGGCGACAGTCACGATTCGAAAATCTGACTCTCTCTGATCTTTGGATATGGCATTGGGGAAGCTTGGGAGATGTTCTGCTTCGTCGCGGACCGTTTTAACATTTCTGGAGGATGGAAAAGCGTTTCCCAGAGATTTCAGATAAAGCTTGATATAACTGGTGACCATGTTAGTAGGCGCCGAGAAGGCTGTACCGTCATCATTCTGAGGCATAATGGCTCTATGTAACGCGTCAAAGCCATCAGACACGCACCGTAGTTGGCAGACATGGATGTTTGGGTCAAGTTGAGCATTCATTTTTCGTCCTAACCTATCTAGTGAAAACATATTATGGTTAATTAACCTCACAATAGCAAAAGTAAAAACAAAAAAAAAAATGAAAAGAACAAATATTTTTTGTAGATGGTTGAGAGTGTTGGTTATTAATATTAATTTTAATGTCCCTCTTTCCTAATCGTAAAAATTTTTTTTTTGTACATTTTAGAATTAAGCGGGAACCCTATCTAAAAGATGCTCTGTACAATGTATTCCTTACCTCAACCCTTCCACCCGACTCTCCAACAACAACCAAACTAGTTACGATGGCTTATGAACCAATTAGACGGAAAAAAAATCCGCATTACGACAGCGTTGAATTCAGTTTGGACAAAATACTGCACCGCTACAGCGAATGAACCGTACACAATGATGCGCCACACTATGACGGAGTGCATCAAAAGATTTTGAAATCAGGCTGCTGTACACTCATTCCACACAAGTGTTATCATAAAGAGGTAAGCTATGACTGTGCTTAACACTCTAAAGAACACACTATTACAGTCATTTCTCACTGCTGTAACCTGAGAAACAAGTTTTTGGAGCACAGCTTTTAGGTGCCCGTTTCTGGCCTAAGCGGCAGTGCCGTCGGCGTAACTGTGAGGTCACGTGAGCCCTGTAAAGTCACGTGACCCCGGTGACGTTATGTGACCCCCATGGGGTCACGTGACCTCACGGTTACGCCGATGCCGGAGGGAGGAGTAGCAGGCAGAATGAGCTGAGCAGGAGGGAGGGGGATATACCCTCCTTTCCGTTCCTTCCCTCAGCCTCCTAAAGAGCTACACTTTAATTGGCGTTACAGGGAGTTGTAAAGGGCTTTCATTTTTTTAGCTCAGAGTGACATTTTAGATTTCTTTAAACATGAGAATGCGACGAGAGCGGTCGACCGGTCGCATCTGCTTGCATCGCCTCGGCAAGAGAGGTCTCGTGTACTGACCTTCGCACACCGTATCGTCGCCAAGAAAATGTTTGCGCGACGCAAGCTTTAGGTTGCTGGTGACTGTTGCCCACCTTACTGGGTTTTCCAAACCAAACCCGTATTGACAATTGCAGTCGCGAGGATGCTGTCGACGTCACGCTTAAGATGCCGCCAAAGCGACCGCAGTCATGGTTTTGGGAGCCGCCATTTTTTAACTGTGCTCGCCTTGGTTTTAGCCAACTTGTCATCACGAATCCTCCTTGGAGAGGCACAAAGACTCTTTGTGTATGCATGCAAAATCCGACAAATAGCGTACGCTAAAATAGCGCATGCAAAGCGCGAAACGTGGTTAGCGTTCGGCGCATGCGCAGTGGCGACGACGCTATTCTTTACTTGCACAAATCTTTAGTGTGCGCTGTTCTAAATCTAAAACTCCCTTTTGATAAGATGTCTCTGTACCAGTCACCGACAAGGCGAAAGAGGCAAAGTCTTTCAAATGCCCAGCCTGCACAGTGCGCTCTCTGCCTTCCGCCGTACATTGGCAGAGCTCGCACGCTAAAGGCTCGCGATACGGCTAGGTGTTTTCGAAGGTAGGAAGCTCACGCTGAAGACTGAAAACAAACTCCTCCCTACCCTTCCTGTCCTCAGTGACTCGTATAGTGCTTAAACCATCTAACTTTACGAGAATGGGCGCTATTAGACAGTGTTACGGGCTTCATAAAAGGCAAAACTACAATGGTGTCTAGCGTTTTGTTTTAAAATAAAGCTAGGAGAACAGGTGGGACGCTACACTCTCGCCACCTTTTCACAGAACAAAGTGTCGCATTCTAACGAGTCTTCGGGGAAGAGACTGCGTACCCCTTCGATGTAGTTGCGCTTATCGATCTTCTCGTTCTGCGAGTGGGCCCCGTCGTCACTGGCCCCCATGGGCAGAAGCATCACGTTCTTGCCAGTCACCTCCTGGAGGGTCAGGGTCACGGGAATGCTCCCTCCTTCTCGCGTCATGTCGGGCTCCACGCCGTACACTGAAAGCGCAACAAAGAGACATGCGCAAACACATATAGGCACGTGACACGCAAGAGTGAAGTTCAGGCAAATTTGATGCTGGCATCGAATTCTTTGTTTCTGCAAGTCGTGGCGAGACCTTCGGCGTGCTGAAGGTACAAACAGCACTCCGAAACACGTGGGTGCATCGGATGCTCCTGTCTCGCCTGCGCGCCCCGCGACGTTCGAAAGGCGTCTCGGCTTCGGAGGGTCTCTCACCGTGCTTTGTGGCTGCCTTTCCGGCCAGGAAGTGGGGGTGGAAAGGGTCGCTGACCCACCAGCGACCTCCGCTTGCCATGTAGCACCTGCGAGCGTTGACGGTCGAGAAAGAGAGTAGGCTAAGTACGTGGAATTACGAAACAATACCAGCACAAAGCTAGAGTCGCCGAGCCCTCGTGAAGCGCTTAACGCTCTAGGTCGACATGTTCATCAAATTCTTTCGCTCGTCACATTGCATACGACGAAGTTGAAAGGATAAAAACTGGGGCGCTCCTTTGATCAACCGCCCGAGCATCCCACGTGCGAAATGCGTCGGCGATTTAGACGCACAAATCTGGGAAGCGTGACGGCGTCGTGTCACGGCGTCAAATCGTGGTGTCGTGCGACGTCGCACGACGGCATGCGGCCCGAGGACGCGTTAAGCTAAGACACGACCGCCAATGTTGCTAAAGTTAGCAAAAGGGTGAAAACGACTGGGCGTGTCTTCCTTTCCGACACGCTTTAGCTGCGCCTGCACGCTTGAAGCCCATGAGATGCCAAAACGCTACTGAAAGTAGAAACCTCGTGCTGGAGGTGGGACAATTGAAAAAGACCTCCCTGCCATTCTGGTCTTGACAGTGACTATAGATCTAGTAACATTGGTGACACCGTGACTTGAACCTCACTTGGTCACATGACCACGTGACCAGTAGTGGCACGTGACCCACATGACCCACGGCAACCCGCTTAACTTGGCCGGGTGGTAGCTCGCTAAATTTAGCCAGTAACGCCACTTCTGCACCGCTTCGATCAATACGGTACAACCACACGAGTTCCAACTATCGAAACGCATTCTGCATTAAAAAGGGTAAAGGTAAAAACCCATTTTTATGATTCTTCCTATAACTTCTACCAAATCTGCATTTTGGGAAGGGGGGATTGCGGCCGAGCATGTGGAGCGAGAGCTCGCGCTGCAGGACCTGGGGATTCCGCCCGTTTCGATCTGGACGAGCAGTTGTTTACCACTACTGCGCAATGCACGACGAAGATACCGGGCTAGTGGTACCACCACACACTTGCCGCCGTCTATACATGCACACAACATAATTTCTTTTTTTTTTCGGGGGGGGGGGGGGGGGGACTGTGTTCAAGAAGTGGCCACTCGCCTCATGGTGTTGGGACTGTTGCGTTGCTTCCATAGTACATCCAGGTAGTCTTTGACCACCTTCTCCACCTTGTGGGGCTCCTGGTTCGGCACTATGCGAATCGAGAACTTGCCCGTCACTTTGCGTGGGATCACGGTCTTCTCCCCGGATCCGTAAAATGCGCCTTCCACACCTGCGAGAAAGGAGGTGCAGACTCTGTCAAGCGATGCGCGAAGCACAAGCTAACGTTATTAAGTAGGGTGGCATACTTTCGGGAGTTCATTTTCTTCCTATTCTAAAATGTTTCTCGGGTTTTTTTTTTTTTTTTTTTTTTTTTTTTTTTTTTTATCACATTTGGTATTTTTTGTAATTATTTTTATAGTGGCCGACAAAGAAACAAATTCGTGTTTGTAGGGGCTTACGTTGAAGAAAACAGTACAAAGGCATGGGTTCCCCAATGTCTACGGAACATGCGCTTGGCCTGCATACTTGGAAAACATACCGCTACCGCCACGAGAAAGAAATAAGATGAGGAGCGAGGTTCCCAAAGGGAAAAACCGTCCACAGACAGTTGGGTACAAAGGGACTGTATTCCGGATCAACAAAAAATAAAGCTGCAAACAAAGATTTCTTCACACGAAGTTCGAGTTTCTCTCGTTCAGGGACAACTGCAATTCAAGGTTTTTCAGTTTTTCCCTTTATTTTGATGAAACTGGCTTCGGGGTAATCAGTACTCGGAGCCACTGAGTAAGCTACACTCCAGAGTAACCACAGTTGAGCCACCTTGGTGTTTAGAATCGTTGTTGCTAGCTCTATACCTGAAATCAAAAGAAGCGCCTATGCTTCCAAACGTTAAAACAGTCGGTGACGGAGAAAAACGATGTCACCCGAGCTTTCAGACACCATATCTAAATTTCAGGAAATCACATTTGCTGGCAATTGAGCCCACTCTGCACTAGGTAGATTGTCGACACGATGTACAGGTCGTCACTTGTATGCGAAGAACCTCTGAACGTAGTTGGGGTCACCCGGACTGCTGGACGCCGCTCTCGCATTCATGGTGGAACATCGCAAATAAATGAGTGTTTTGCAAATACTTAGTAGTTTCAAAAAATAGGCTGTTCGATATTCGCTTCGAGATGAACTGTGATATTCATATTTTTCAAAGCGTTGATCGAGGCACCGCACTGCACTGCACCAGTGCAGTGCGGTGAAGCGATACCCACAAAGCCAGTTTCAGCGGGTGTGGCTTCTTCACGGTGCACTAGTGCTAAGTAAGAAGCACACTCAGCAGGGATAACCCGCCGCATTCAACGCTTAGAAAAATATGGATAATGCAGCCACGTGCTTAGGAGGAAAGCCCATATCCAAAGCGGGAGAGAGCACGCACGCGTTTGATGTGTTTAAGAAGGAACGGCAACTTTGTGAAAAATTATTATCTACATTGCAGTAAAATTAAAAAAATTGTACTGGCACACACGAGCACATGTTGACCAGGGATGTCCCGACAACCTGTGCTAATCATACGTGATTGAAGAAAAGATAATTGCATATAACAAAAATGTTTATACATTTGAACCGTCTCTCTGGCTGTCATTCGTGACAATATGCGGCCAAATCCTCTGTTCACCTTGAATTCGAAGTCCACCATTCGCACATGCCTACAAATAATTACATCCACAAGTCACCGTGCACTCCCCCGTAGCAAAGTGCTTCTCGCGCATCCAATTGTGGTCCCACGGTACCCGGAACGTGAATAGGCGCCCTTTTCACAAATGTTCCAAGAATGTGGACAAGTGCCCTTTTCACGACACCCATCCACGCTCTTGAAACAATTGGGCAGGGGAAAAGCATGTGCACGATAAAAAGAACTGAAGCTGTTCTTTCCTGATAAGTTGACAAGAAAATGTGCTGCATATAAAACTTGGGTGCTTATTTGCTAGGAGACACAGTTGGTCACCGTAGATGCATAAATATGGACGCCATCTCACCGTGAAGAGACAAAGAAGGGAACCTCCAGCGGTGCATCAAGATGTCCTCCTTGGTCTCGTGGAGCAGACAAGTTGCACCAATATCACTGCAATACTCTTTCTGCAAGCAGAATGGTGACCAGCACATCTGACATTATTAAGCAGAATTAAGAAATGAACTGAACAGAGATATAGTAAAAATATACACATTCTAATGTTAAAGTAGCCATGAAAGAAAAATATTCAGGAGTCTGTTTAGTATAATGATGGCAGAAGCAAAACCGCAATCCAAACAGAGCAAGGCAATAAAGCAACAGAGTTTTGTCATTCATGACCAATCTGTCTCTATGGCCTACTCCATTATGCAGGCTCTTTAGCGAAATGCGGAACAAATCGTTCCTGCCAAAGCAATGTATTGCATAAAAAAAAGGCTTGCGACATTCTGGTCCTGGGCAGAGGCCCCTTTTAGGAAAATGATTAAAGTTTGGGATAATTAATTTGATTATTTTCACATAGCGTAGAATACCGCACATCCGCCCATTCCACATTAAGTGCCCATATCCAAAATTCTAAGATATAAAAAAATTTGCACAGTACATTGATATGTAAAATTGATGATCGGACAAGTGCCCACCCCCCATTTTTTCGCGATTATCTCTAAATTTGGAGTGGGCTGCTTGCCCGGTATTTTACGGTAGTTTATTTTTTCTAATACCGAGTTTAAGGGCATGGTTTCACTTAGAAGCTTGCTGGGCATCATCGAAAAACCTTATGTCAACCTTATTTAGACAGGTATAAAACACTGCCAACATTTTATGAAGTTTGAAAGGTAACTTTTTTTCCCGCATTCTCTGGTTTTGTTTTTTTATCCAAGCGCATCTTGGCGGCCTGCAGTCCTGCCCTCCCGTGGCCAAAGCGCGGAGCTTCAGCAGTTGCTTCGGCTCCCTCGACCTCACCTGCCTCCCCTTTCTTGTAAAAAAAAAAGGAAGCGTTGCGTGCGCGGCACAGGTGGCCGGAAGGGAACATTTTGCTGTGGAATGAGCATCTCATTGCAAGATTGAACTTTCTTCTACTGGCTAAGAACTTCAGCCGCGGGAAGGCAGGACTGCGGCCTCCAAGATGCGCTTGGATAAGGGAACGAAATCGGAGAATGCATAGAAAAAGGAGGGTTCTTCCAAACGTCATAAAATGCCAGCCTGCTTTATACTTGCCTAAACAAGGTTGGCATAGGGGGTTTTCGATGACGCCCAGCAAGTTTCTGAGTGAATATACGAATATGCGAAAATAATTAACTTAGTTATATCAAACTTCAAAAATTTTCCTGAATAAGCCCCTGGCCAAGGACAGAACGTCGCAAGCCCTCTTTCTGTGCGAGACATAGTTTTGGCAGGAACGATTTGTTTCGCGTTTTTGCTGAACACCCTGTATAATGTTTTATCCGCTACAAAATTCTCGTATTACAACATCTTTCTATCACTCCTAACTACTAAATCGTGAATTGCAAGAGGCATGGAAGCAAAACAATTGCTCGCGGAAACACAGTGTCTCAATAACACACTTCATTCGGACAATTGTTTACCCGGGTAAAAAATTACTATGAAGAAAGCGAATTGCCATGCATTTCTAACATTTCTTCATAAAAAAAACTCCTGACGCCGCCAGAGATTGTTTTTCGGCAGCTTTGCCTTATACCATTCAATCAGTATAGTTAATTCATCCACATATTTTCTTTGGAGGCCATGCAAGACTCTGAAATAGACTGAAAAGCTAACCACCAATGGTAAAGCAACATGCACATATAGCAAACATAAAATTAAACTTAAAAAAATCACCTCTATGTCCCCAGAAGAAACTCTGAAACGACACTTCCAGAAACAATCACTGCCGCCGACTGACCATATCAAAGTCGATCTCCTTGTAGAGTTGACGTTCCTTGTCCGTGACAGGTGCAACGTCGTCCATGATTCCGGGAATGAGAATCTTGCCACTCTTGTCGGCCAGCTGACCCATAATGTAAACCAGGTCGGCCATGCATTCGTGTCTGCAACACCGACGAAGAAACAAAGAGCTCCATACCCCAGCGGGCACCAAGGTTCGAGCTGGCACCACAAAAATGGCAAGGATGCACAAGACAAACTACAGTCACGGGACACGATTAGAATGGCAGGGGTCAGATTTTGGCCAAGGTGAGAGCTAGATCGTGCTCGGCAGCCGATTGGATGTGGCGGTACAGTTCGCGTGTAAAATCAACCGAGACATTTTTGACCCATTCACGAGACTGCAATAGGGCAAACATTTGGTGAGAATGTCTCATCTACGCACAAAGAGCGAGAAAGGTCTCACGGGCTTTGATGTGCTTGTCCTTAGTACTCCATCCACCGGTCGATGTCTGCTCGTGTACGGCAGCGGAACAACTTCGTAACGTGACGGACGATTACAATATCAGCCCGTGGCCAACCCCCACTTTGCCGTGGCATTCGGTTCGTAGGTGATGATCACCTTTTTTTATCCATCTGTTAGCAGACAAACTGTCTACGAACACCATTCCCGCTGGCAAATTAGATCTCGCTCTCGCAGTGGCCAAAATTGGACCCCAGGGAGGTCTTCCAGCTGTCCCACCTCCAGTGCAAGCTTCCCATCTTTGATAACGCTTCGACGTCTCGCGAGGCTGGAGTGTGTCCAAGCAGCGAAAGCACAACGAAAGACAGCAAGTGCAAGGCTTCAAAAGATACATCCCGCTGTTCTCGTCCCATCGGAGCTAATATAGCACCGTGCAAGAACATAGAACGTGACAATTTTTAGTGTCTTTGAGACGGGACCCGCAGCGAAACACGACTTACACCGAGCCGCCGAAGACGCCGGAATGGAGATCCTTGCTGGCGCATTCAATCTCCACGCCGAAGTAGCACAGGCCTCTGTTGAAGAGATGACGAGATACCATGTCCAAAATGCTGCTAAAACGCAAGCTAAGAACTGCTTACAATGACCGTGCCATTACACAAAACGGGTCCGTTGATCGTTCTCTCAGTGCCTTGTCAATAGATGCGATAACCCCTCTAGATAACGAGCCTCGTGCTGACGAATCGCAAAGTTGTCAGAGAGCCAGAGCTGCACTAAGCCTCTTCGAGGACCAAGTCCCCATACTTTGCCTCGCCTCACAAGGAACCGCAGTGGATGCTACGAGCCATCAAAGCAGATTGGATGCCGCGAAGGTGTCACATGACCTTCAGGAGGGACACAGTGATGCGCGCTGCGTACGCTCACACAATACGTTCGCAGCACTAGACTAGCCGAGACAGCCCGTAGCGTTCGCCGTGGTTCGATGAGATGCGAAACGCAGTGCGTCACTTCTTACTTTTCGGCATACCTACAGATTGACATTTAACTGGTCCAATGCCTGTTCCCACCAAAAAGGCACAAAGTCATTTTGCGAGCATATTATGCAAACAGGCTAGACTTCTTGCCCGTACCCGCACATACATGGACATCTGCCTGTAGATGATGAGCTTCGGCATTTGTGAACGGTGCGTGTTTATAGTGTTCAAAAACTTACTACTTTTACGCCCTTTATCTTCTTCCTCTCCTTTTTAGAGCTCTCGTTTAATCTCCCCGTACCCCTCCGCCGGCGCAGAGTAGCCAATCGAGACAATTCCTCAAGTTAACCTCTTTGTTTTCCTCTTCCGTCCGTATGGCATGTAAACCTGTTTGACAGGCGGGACAATCCCCACCTGAGTCCGTAGGTGAGGCATGGCTTGTCTTTGCCCAGCCAGTAGTTGTCGGAAACGCAGACATAGTCGACGTCCTTGAAGAACTCTCCGCCCTTCATGCTGAACAAGAGCTCGTCCAGGCCAACTGAACCGGATTCCTCCATGCCCTCAAAGACAAACTGAAATGGTGCAGGAAGGACACGGCGAAGCTCGGCAGTCTGGTTCTAGCCTGGACTTGAAAGTGTCTTTTAAATGTTCACCGACAAACCAGGAAATCTTTGAGGTTGGTTTTGAAAGATGCGAGCAGGGAAAGGCATTGAAATGCCCCTGGCACTAACCGAGTGGTGAAAAGACAAGTTACGGAACAAACAACTGCACAAGCTGCCCTTCAATGTAACTATGTGCTAATTCTAAAGCCTGAGGGGGAGGCAAGAAAGGAAGACAAACACAATGTCTTGAACGCAGCTACCAAATTGTATTCACCACACTTCCTCCTCATCTCCACTCTAGCACCCTCTCGCCAATTTGCACACTGATCACATCATCCGCTAGAGCTCAATCGGTCGACCTCCGTGCCCAGGAAATCTTTTCACCTCCGACCAAACCCTTTCGGACAAGAACCGCAAAACTTAGTAGCAGTGTTCGAGATGCTGTGCTTGTCCTACTCTTTTGCCTCTGTCTCAGGTTTTAGTATATAAACTACCGACTCGCCGTTCTATTGTCAACGATAGGAACAAAGGTTTTTATTCAGAAGCAAAGTTAATGGGAAGCTCTTACCACCTCTCTTCACTTTAGCAGAGTGAACGCTCTGTTGAAGTGGAAACGGTTGGGAGGGGCTTCCCCTGAACTCTTAACTGTCACCGACTATAGTAATGTCTTCAACGTAACCAATGACATACCTTGAGGTTAACCGGGAGCTCCACCTTGGCCTCCTTGTAGGACTGGATGGCGTGGAGCCAGCCAAGCACCGGGCCCTTGTCGTCCGAAGAGCCTCGGCCGTAAAGCTTCCCGTCCTTCTCCACCAGTTCGAAGGGCTCCGTATCCCAGCCATCGTCCTGCCACGAAACGTGCGCGCCTTCAAGTCTCAGAAATTTCCAAGCTGCCAACGCTTGTTTGGTTACACAAAACTGCGGCTCACATATGTGAGCCACAGCAAGTGGGGTTACGTACAAGTGGAAATTTTCAAGGTAAAACGTGGCACCAGATAACAGATGCCCGTGGCAAAACTAGTCGCATCAACAAAGCCAACAAGTAACCAAAGGGTTACAGTTTCTGAAGAGAAAACAAAGTGTATGGCCACATGCTTATCGCGTTGCTTTTAGCCCTTGTACAATTGAGTTTAGGCGACTATCATCTAGCAGTCTAGAACATGAGGTCGAACTGTACTTAAGAGATATACAGGTTGTGCTCTCACATGAGTCTGAAACATGTGGAAAACCAGGGAGATGATCTTAAACATTTCTTTTAAACATCATAAACATTTTGACTTTGTTCGAGGACCCTTCCAGGTATTAGGAGTTGTCCTCGCAGAATGCACCTCCCCCTTAAGCTGCGCAGCTGTCTTGTTCGACAAAAGCAGCTGAAAACATCACAGGCAAAAAGCTGTGCACAGCCGCAATCAAATGGTGGAGCTTGTGAGGAGAACCCTTTAAGGAAGAAAAAGGCAAATAAAACACGCAAATAAACATTTCAGAATGTGAAGCTATCTCGTGAGCAATCTATTGACACAGCCACTGCATTTTGCATTCAGCTGAAAGATAATTCTGCGGATGCTGCTACTATTACTCATAAAAGCAAAGAAATGGAGTGTAATAAAGATCTCTCAGGTATTCTGTCTTACCAGACCAATCCTTTTTCTTTTTATGCTACATTTCACTTTAATGCGATCGTACCAGAAGCTACAAGAGCAAGTTTTAAGCTTTTGGCATCTCCGCCAAACATGCACGCTCATGTAGTGCAATCACTGTTCAAGGCAACACGCTTGTGTTTATAGACTCAGCTTCGCTCGCAAATAAAGCAAAACAGACGACCCCTATATTGCCCACACGTCCGGTAGCGTTCCGACCAACACATTATTTTTCCTCCACACAAGTTTATAAATTGTTTTATTAATGTGAAGGCTATGTAAAATCATGACTGCTACGGTCGGAAAGCATCCACGCTAGCCTCCAAGTTCCATTCGTTTGTGATGTATCTCGGCAAAACGGAACTAAGCGAGAATTGCTTTGCAGCTAAGCTGTTTATGGTTAGGGTTAGGTGGATTTTTTGTGTGCGTCAACAAAAACTCTGAGAGGGCTTCCAGCGCCCTCTCTTTGTTGTTGTTCCAAGCGCTTGCATGCCTAGTTTCCTTTTCTTCCGCCGGGTGGCAGTCCCGTTTCGCGTCTAGTTTCCTCTAGCTCCTCCGGGTGGCGATAATCCTTTACATGTGTGTGCATACCTTCCCTCACGATGACCGCTAATCAAGACAATAAATTTGTTCTTACCTTTCGTCGCGATGACCACCAATCAAGACAATAAATGTGTTCATACCTTTGTTCAAAATTTTGTGTCACGTCTCTGTCGTGTGCTAAACAGCTTCGCTGGTCATTACCTTCACAGTGTGGAATGGCTTATGACTTTTAATGCAAAAGCATCAACTGCTGTATGGAGCGAGCCGACGTCATCAGTTTGAAGCGCACTAAACCGCACCTTAAATCCTATTTCCAAGTGAAGCCAGCCCCCAGCTATGAAACCACGCGAAAAGCTTAGACAACAGCACCTAGTTTCCCCAACCCCAAAGGAGCGGAGTAAAGCTGATGGATTTCGGCTTCAGTCCCGTTCGCTGGCAGGCGTCGACGAGGCTCCCATTGGCCGCTGTGCGTCCTTTGCAACGACCGCCGCCCCATGACGCTGCGTGTCCGCTAGGCAGCGGCTCCACGCCCAAAATTACTGCGAGCGCTCGACCGTCGTTGCAAGTACGAAGCAGACGACAGAAGAAAGCGGAAGAGTGGCGTGCATGCTTTCACATTCACAACACATAGAAAGTGCTTAGGTATACCTCGAGCCTTTTTATGTATGCACAAACTATTTATATCAATAAATATTCGCTCATGTTGTTTCTGGAACGTACCTTCAGCGCCGGCTGGACGTCGAGGTGGCCGTAGACGCATATAGTCTTCTTCTTTGGGTCGCTGCCGAGCCGGCCAATTAGGACGGGTGGCAGCGCGAGGGTGGTCCCGTCATGAAACGTCTGCATCCCCAGGTCCTTCAACTCGCAGGTGGCTCCTTCCTTTTCCAGCTTCTACAGAGAGGCGACAAAACAATGCCCATGTCAGGTACGATGTCACGAAATCGTGGGCAAGATATGACCCACCTCGCAATGGGTTAGGGGAACACCAAGGACATTTTGTGTAGAGTAGGAACTTGTCACCAGTTATTCGTGCCACTTTTATGACTGCCACAATCGTCAAGGGCACGAAAAGTAAAAATAGGTGTTGGGAAAATCTAAACTTAATGGTAGACTTTTCCTGGACGTGCCTCGTGCTGCTCAAGAACACTCTTGGCAGTGTGTTCTTGAGCCCTTTCAGTTCAACGAAGTTGTCACTCCATGAGGTGAGATGAGGACCTTGGTCCAACTTACCTCCTTCATCCACTGGATCATCCGAACCACCTCTCCCCGGACCTCAGGCCAGCCAGAAACGCTCTTAATGGCGACTGCTTCGCGAAGGACCTCAATCATCTTGCCCTGGTTCTTGTCAACCACGCTGCAAAATGCAGGACATGCACATCGTAAAACATTGAACACGAGCCTATCCTCTATATTTTTTTATTAATTGTGCAATCTTAACAATTACATTCGAACTACAATATGCAATACTTGACATTTTAGAATCTCTCTTCACTCAAAATGAGCCTCAGTACATAAATATTATAACATGTTGGTTTTGTGTCGTTTTTGTTTTGGGGGGGTGGGTACCAAAGTATATTTTGTGATATGCATGCAAACCAAACTTACAAATATTTTTGGTTCAGTGTCCCTACGAGTATAATTCCAATACATGCTTCTACTTCAGGTTAACATACCCAAATAAAAGAATGTTTCGGAATTAAAACTCGCTCAAAATATGTCTCACAACAGAAGTATTTCTTTTTAAGTAGAAGTTTGTTACAGAATCCCACTCCTGGCTCAAATGAGTCTTGTGACGGCGCGGTGTAAAACTATATACAAAAAGCAGTGCTAACTTCGCTGATAGAAATACCTGAATACTCTTGAAAGCTGATCCGGTACCTGGGAGGGGGCCATTGTTGCTTGGTTTGCTGAAAGCCGCAATATTGTTAAAAACAAGTCCCGTATCAAGAGTGCCGGTCAAATCGCTCGTCCACACACATGTGACAATGAAGTTAACAGTATGCGGCTAAACACAATCGAACATTACTGGAATAGATATCCAATAGTTTCCCTTGGCTCAGCTTGTGACCAATTGTCGGCAATAGTGTTCTGTGCTCTGTGCCGATTAAAAATTTGAAGTGACAATTCGTAACCTTTAGTTTATTAATCGGTTTAATGTAGATGCTGGTAGAATTGTTAATGCATTCTGAACTTCAGAATAGTTTGGAGAACACAATTTTTGGGAATCATAATGCTTTAGCGATGCAGGCACAGTATGTGTTAACAAAGCCATTTTATTTCACTTATTGGTTTACTGGACAAAAAACGGCAAAGGCCAAGTGCTGGTGGTAGGAATGAGGACAGCACGAGGGCATAAGAGGAAACAAATACACTTTTTACTGACGTCAAGTTGTCAGCTACTAAGTACAAGTAATTAATTGAAAAAGTGTGACATATGGCTTTTATAATGAGAAATATTTATTTGGACTCAAACATGAGACAGCAAAATCAAGAAAAACAAAAAGCAGTGCGGGGTTTTGCTGATCCATCATCTCCATAAACGTTGCCAGCAGCAACATGAAAAATGAAACACGAATAACATATTTTTCAACAGGAAGCCAAGCAGCTCTTTAGTACAGCTTTTAGAGAAGTCCATTTACATTCTTTGGGTACAGGTAGTCAGGGACAACATTTGACCGATTCATCGGTTACGAGTTTAGCTGAAAATTAATGCACTAATCAATTAATTGATAGGTTAATTTATTCATTCACAGCCCAAGTATTTACAATGATCCTGCGATATTTTAATTCCTTTTAAATTGGTGCCATTGCTGTTCATTGTGTGAAGATTGTTTTATTTAATGCTTGACAGATGCAAGAATAAAGCCATGCCTTTCATTTTCACTAAACATATGACATTGCACAGACAAAAAGAAATAAAAAAAAAGACAAGAAAGAATCGGTTACATTACTTTTTCACATGAAATGGAAACTAAAAACAAAGCAAAACAAAATTGCTGCTAAAAGGTGTCTTTGGAAGCCTGCTGTCCAGAGGATAGATTAGCAGGTTGCAAAGCCACAAAAATGTAAGGTAAAAAATAATGGAGAGTTGGCTTTCATTACATTTTGACAAAGCCCCCTTCAAAGTAGGCAGACAGTAGTAGTATTCTCCTGATTGTTCTAGCAGACAAAAGAGGAGCTAGTATCAGATACCCAAATAAAACTGAATAGGCTGTGGTTAAAGACATACGAGGCCAGAGGGGCTTATCCAGAATCCTCTTCAGATATGGAAAATCAGCTTTTATTACATTTTGCAGGGTCACTTCCCCTCAAAATGTGCGGATAGGTGTAGTTTTCCCCATCGTTCAGCTAGCAGGCAATACAGTTTCATTGCAGTTACTCGGCTCAGTTTGTGGGTATTTTCCTAAGCGAATCAAAGAAATTTACATGTTTGTGTGTGCTTTACTGCGAAAAAATAAAACATTTATTCAAAGCTTTTCACATAAATTAATTCATTACTTTAAACTGGCCCATGCATTTGGCATGTGTTCGTGCCTGGCTAGGCACGCACACATGCCACCTTGCGGTACACTGTTACATCACAGTGCACTGGCGGAAACTTTAAATTGGGCCTCGTATTTCTATTTTTTATAAAAAAAAACAAAAAACTATGCAACTGTAGAGTGAAACAATTTTTTCGTAATGTACCTAATATGCCATTTCAACGCCTAGCATGAAAAAAAATTTTTTTCTTTTTTGACGTGTCAGAGGCTTTTTAACTGTTTCTCAAGATCATTGACAAGACATCAATGATTTTGTGAATGGCAGCTGTTATGTTATTCGTGATTTTTGTATGATATACTAGCTTTTTTGTGCACTAATAAAAAATGCATTTTGCACGAAGCACTGTGTATGAAAATTTTACTTGTGAATTATGCACAGAGTGCAGACTGGCCCGGAGCAGGGTATGTGCCGGGTGGACCATTTTAAGGAAATTTGTTTTAAAGGCAAAGTGATGCTGCAGGCTGGGGTGTAGACCATATACAGAAAATATGGCACTTGGCTGAAATGCTAGCTGAAAGTGCAAGCTGCAGGGAAATAACATCCACCAACAATTTCTAATGCTATTCCTTTCTTAATATTCACAAAGCCTCAACTAGTGGACAAACAACTTCTACAAATAATTTAATTCTTTCCTTAATAATCTCCGAACCCAGACAACACCCCCCTCAGTATCTCCCCTTCTGAAGTGGCTGCCGGTATCCTGGATAGAAGCAGTTGCTGGAAGTCGCTTCACTCAAGGCAAGTCAAGGGCAGACTTTGCACACGTCACTTTAAAAACCTCCCCGAGCAACATGTTGCAGATAGCGAGTGCAAACTTGGCACCTTGACAGCATTCATGTTGACAGGACGCCTAGGCAGAGTAATGCAGCTGCAAAACCTCCACCTGGCATCTTTTATTGCGGCTTGAATAGCTCGTTAAAACAGATAATGGCCCAGGTGTTTGAGTGAACACATGTGGGACACCATCCGATTTCTATTTGCGTGTGTCTTTTTAATGACGAGGTCCTTTGGTAAACCCGGGCATTGCACGCTTTTCCAAAGCGCAATGCAAACGGCAAACTGGTTATTCAACTGGGACAACCAACGGAAACTCAGCCCCAGAACTTCCGTCAAAAAGCATACGATATCATGGGAGCCATCGATGTATGCAATGGGAGCAAGCGCTTGCGTGCGTAGCAGACGAAATTTCGCCGTCAAATTTTTTGCAAAACGCCGACACGCCGGTTTAATGAAACAAAGGAACGGAAAAGGGCGGCACTCGAAATGTGGTTCCACTGATGGAATGTCTTCAATCTAAGGCGTAGGAACATTGCAAATGATCGAGACTACTTTAAAGAGAGACAAAGAAACGATATGTGAAGATTGCCACCGAGCAAATTTCTTAGGAATGGAACGTTCGATGAGCTACGATGTGCACGAAGGAGGTGTGCAGGCATACCTTCTGATCACTCGAGTAAAACTTCAGGGACTGATCGAAGCGGCAGTGACTCGGTGACTCCGTCGACAGGACTGAGGCGACTGGCACGAACTGACAAACCGGCCCGGCTGAAACAGAAATACGCCTCCCAAGTGAATCATGAATCACATTTCCTCTATGAAATCTATGAAATACGATAACAACGTTCCTGCCATCTGTCGTTAGGTCTGCAAAACTGCACGCCAATACCGTGCGCTCGGTAAGTACAACGTATGGCGTCGCGATTACGTTTGACGTCATTTAGTGTCTATTTATTCCACGGTTACGACACGAACGTCATCGGTCAAGCGCGTTCAAACAGGTCACGAGAGTTAAAAGAGTCAACCGCACCAGACTGACTCATAATTGACGTGACGTCCTAACAAGCAAACAAAAAAGCGCTAGAAATTTAAAATGTTGAAATAAATATTAAAGTTTATTTTTCAATTATAAATTACTTTTTGCTCGCAAAACAAACCCCGCAACAGTTGGAAGCACATATTGGCAGAGGGCAGCACAGAAGAAATCAGCAGCAATGGCGGCAAATAAGGTATTGCACTGACTTTTCTCCGCACAAACATTGGTTTTTTATATAATTGTGCTGGCAGAGACAACATGATATGGCTCTAAATCTCTGAATTTAAAACTCATTAACATACCACATCAGAATTTAGGCGTAATATTAAATAGAAATAAAAGTACAGTCGCTTGCCGGTTATCTGTCACGTTCTCGTTGTTTACGCATCGGTACTTTTATGTTTTCTTTCAGGAGGCAGTGGTGATCATCCTCGATGTTGGACCTCATATGAACCAGGGAGCACCCGGCAAGCCGAGCGACCTCGAAGAAGCTAAGACATGTGCCGAACTGATGATCCAACGCAGGGTAATTCGCGTCCCCTATCAATGTTTACAGATGGAAACCGACACAGCTGCAGTGAGCTTCGAACTGTGACCACTGGATAAGTTTTAATTCTAGTGAAGGATGCGTTTTGCTGGTTCTGGCGGCCTACCTAAAATTCAGAAGCTCGTTTCCAGTGAATAACGTTTAAGCAAAGAAAAACGATCGTTTTGGTATCACTGACCCAACTGACATTGCATAATTACGAATATGAGATTTGATCGGTTGAGTGCAGTATCTGGTTGGAATGTCTTAGGTCGTTCCTTGTGGCTCTAGCCATGCACAGTAACTCTAGAAACAACGGATGACTGGATGGATGCACATGGCTTCACCCTTTCTCTTTCCACTTTAGCAAAGTGAATGTTGGAAAGGAGGTCGCCTCCTCTCCAGTATTTGCTCTGGTGGAAAGAGGTGGGTGGAGCCTCCACTTTACTCTTAAGCAATCACTGACTATAGCCAGTGTTTCTTATAACATCAGCCCACCTCTACCTAAACGAAATTATACCATACAACACCCGCCGTAGGTTGTGCGTCAGCCAGTTGTCATTCACATACCGTTCAAATTTCAGATTTTCTCAGAGTCGAAGGACGAGATAGCCCTCGTCGTGTGCGGGAGCCAGAAGACGAACAACAGCCTGTCGAGCGACAATGAGTACACTCACATCGACGTTGTTGCCAATCTGCAGCCAGTCAGCTTCGGCCTGCTCGAGAAGCTCGGCAGCGTGAAGAGCACCCAGCACACGTGTGACTGTATCCTTCTATATACAACTTTGCCCGCAGTGTTAGTGGCTTTCCATTTTGTTTTTGTCCTTCATCTGTACCCCATTACTGTTTTTCCACTTATTTGTCGTTGTGCATCAATATTAAGTACATCAAGATAAATATGAATACAAGCTGCCACTTTTGAAATCGGTGACGGCTTGCAAGTGACTCTTCGAACGACCCCAGAAAATCGCGTTTCATAGCATTGAATACAGCCGAAAATGGAGCTTTGCCACGGTCCTCACAGATGGATGGATGGATGGATTTTAACGGCTGTACTTTTTATAATGGACGGTAGCTTGCGCCACCCAGTCTAACTTAAGGTGACCATAGGGTGACCAGCCGTCCCGCGACTCGCGGGACTGTCCCGCATTGAGGGCTCGTGTCCCGCGTCCCGCGAGAAATTCTGAAATCTTCAAAATGTCCCGCATTTCATACTGTCGTAAAATTCATTCTGCTACTCATGATGTTGCCGAACAACGGGGCACGGGGAAGCGCGGAGGTCACTGGTAATCGTGTGAATCGCATGGGTACGCCATTTTTTATCCAAGCATTGCGGGAAGCGACCGTCGCTCTTGCAGGAGAACCGAAGCGCTTGCTCCGTTGCACCTTTCCCCTTGGTGGCAAAATATTCTAAGAAAAAGTGCTCGCCAAAATTTAAAATATAACATACTGTAATTATTTTCATGTCGCTGTGTCACAGCAAAAGGTTTGCTGTGGATTTATTTTTTTATTTTTTCGTGAAGACAAGGGAAAAAGCCTGCAACTCACAAGCGTCGAAAAAGAAATACTGTTAAAAATGTGTGTGCACTCTAAAAAATGACCGTGCGTCTACTTTCACGCTCAACACTCGGCGGGGCAATCACCGCGAGTTACGGAGGCTGCTCAGCGAATGACGACGCCGAAACATATGTTTAGACAAAAAAAACACAGTCTGAGTTGTGACATTACGCAATGCAAGTGTGACGTTTTGCATTGCTTAATGTCACAACTCAGACTGCATTTTTTTTGGTCTAAACATATATTTCGGCGTCGTCATTCGCTGAGCAGCCCCCGTAACTCGCGGTGATTGGCTCTCCGAGTGTTGTGGGGGAAAGTAGACGCACAAGTTTTTTTTAGAGTGATAGCACCATGTTGATAAAAGTAAGCGTTGACAGGAAACAATAACGAGAAAAAGATTTAAGGTCTCTTATTTCCATTTGATGCATTGAGTTCTGCTTCAGTTAATTTTTATGTTTTCAATTTCGACACATTTAATAACACATTTGGCATAAAAAAAAGTACATCGCTGGGAGTAAAAAATATCTGAGCTGAATTGCTGAGAAGGTGTATAAACAGCACAGGATATTAAATGTGTTAACAGAGCCTCGGTTCGTGGTGTGCGTGTTAATAAATTTCCTCTGCCTCCTCCCCCCCCTCCCTCCTCCCTTCCCTCCCTCCCTTTTTCCCTCCCTCCCGCCCCCACTGCCCCGCTGTCCCGCATTTGCTTGCAGGAAGGTGGTCACCCTAGTCTAACTCCGATCATCCAGTGGCCAGATTGTGCTACTTAGAAGTTTCCATAGGATCTAGCGAAGGACTAAATAATACAGTTTGATTAGAAGGGCCAGCGAAGGAGAGTGACAGCACCAGTAAAAATCAGCCGGACCTCTTGCGTACCTTAACCTCGCTTTCTGAAGTCGTCGACGCAGTTGTGGTCGCTTTGGACGTCCTGATGGATCAGACGAAGAACCAGAAGTTTGCCGGGCGCAAGGTTGTACTGCTGTCCAACCTCGGCGGAGCGTTTGACGACAGTCAGCAGAACGTCATTGCCAACGGGATGAAGAACTCCAGCCTGTCGCTCACGGTCGTGTGAGTTTGTGCATCGATCGAAGCTTTCTCACTTCTCGTCGAGTTTCGACAGGACGGGAAGAGCAGGGAGGAGTTTTGGTAGCCCCGTCTCCGGCGCGAGCTCGCCGCCTTCGATGACGCTCGGGCGTTTCTGGAGCCTCGAGCGCGCAGGCGCAGCTGAGGCGCGGCGAAAGGCAACTAATGCTTGCTGGAGGCCGGGCATTCGAAAGAGACGCCTTCTCGTTCTCATATTGTCAACTACTGTAATTATACATCGTAATTCACTAGTATATTACTAGGGTTTCGGGTTTTCCGAGATTATTTCTCGTAAAATTCGGAGGTTTTTTTTTTTCTGAGATAATTTCTCGCCGGGAATGGGGGGTTTGTCGGTGTTTATTTTTGTTAGATTTGGAATTCTTTGAATTCCAAATCTTTTTATTTATTCTTTTTTATTTTTGAATTCAATATAAAAACAAATGTTTGGACGAAAACATGCTCTAAATTTAGAAAAACTCGCGGGCATAGAAATATATTTCTGCGGCTGCATCTGGCATTGGTGCCCTCGCAATTGGCAGTGTTAACTGCCCCAAGACAAACCTTGTAGATAGTTGTTGCTTGAATAACTGTCGGTACTACCTTGAATAGCCAAGCTCCCGGACGTAGTAGTTGTTTGGAAGCATAAACGCTTTAGCTTCCCTCCCCTCCTATGGAACCTATAAGTTCAAACCTTTCACTGTTACAAGAACACGAGCCCTCCCTCATCTAAGAAGCACAGTATAGTATGATTTAAAGTGGAAACAGTAGCAGTGCCTTTGTCGCCATCCAGGAATACAGTGAATGGCCCGTTGTACTAATCCGGTGGATTGACCGTTTGTACTGAACGAACCCTGACGAGATAAATGAAAAACTCCCTTTTGTTAATAATTTTAAACTAAATGGGAAAAAAAAAATAAAAAAAAACTGCCGTGGCCTCTCCTTGAGATTACTAACCTTGTGCCCTGAGAAACTTCATTCGTAAGATGTTGTCTTTTTTGCTATTTATTTTGCCATCATGACCTCAAAATTTTAAGTCTTTCAAATAAATCCGAATTGACGAAAACTTTACTGGTGAGCATTTTTCAGAGTTTTTCGGATTTATCCCAAAACACGGAATCCTAACGATAACGCAATACGAGATTTCTCTTTTTCTGCTTCTCAGCTGCCCGTTCGACATCGAAAACGGAGTGGACGACACCGCCAAGTTGTCGCCGAGTCAGCGGAAGGCCGTAGGCTACGTCAGCAAGATCCTAAAGACCGTGGAGGGAGACGCCTACACGTTCAGGTGGATTTCCCGAAAGTCTTCCCGCAGTTGTAACGGTGCCACAGTTTTTTTGGTGACCCTTTCCTTTTTTCTTTTTCAGCCAAGCGGTGCCGGCTTTGACGACGTACGAGAAAAAGAGGGTTCGGCCGACGCCTTGGAACGCCAACCTTGAGATCGGCCCAGATCTGTCCATTCCTATATCCTCCTACATCAAGGTATGCGCTCGCGTGTCGCTGCCCTTGACCTTCGAGCCACGAAATTCGATAGGTGTCTCACGCCGACACGAATTCTGAATTGGATGTCTTTTTCCAGGATCTACCGTAAAATACCGGGGGAGTGCCCACCTTCCCTGAAAACGGTCTATCCGGACATGAGTGCTTGTCCAGTCAAATCGGGCGGTTTTTAACATACCTTGCAGAAATCCCAAGCCTGGGTAATGTTAATAGTGTGGGCTCTTGAACGTAGTGGGCGCTTCTGCGGTATTTTGCGGTACCCCTTTTCAAACCTGTGTTGCCTCTCTCTTTGAAGACTCTTCCTTCGGTTATTTTTCGATGGCATCTCATTTAAAAGAAAGTTGAATACCATCAAGTTGTCACCCTTACAGCATTTAAAGGGACACTGACAGGGTAATTATGTTCGCCAAGGTTTTTATTTGCACGTATCATACGACAGCCAAACTACCGAAAACAAAATTTGCGGCTCAAAATTCGTTTCCTTTTCGCCCAAAAAACGCCGATCGGGAAATGGCCAGTTTGAGTCCCACTCACTTTCTTCGTGGCCACGTGCCGTTTTCTATGGTTTAGACACAACCACCTAATATATTCGAAGTCGTGGGTCATTGAAGGCACACGCTCGATATTAAAGATAGAAAAAAAAAATATATATATATATATATATAATACCTATTTTCTGTGGCTTTTAAGAGACTGCAAATACGTTGACTGAAACAAAAAAAGTTGCACAGCCACGTGACCTCCAGCAAATCTATTCTCCTTTATATTTTTTCTTCCTCTGCTTCCAGTCCAGTTTCGGTTTCGTTTCCGAGCTGTTGCATTTTTTGACTTTATTAAAAATGTATGTGATGCTGTAGCAAAATATAGTTTGGGGAGTCTCCTGACACCATAACAAATCACCTGGTAAATAATAAAAACATTTTTGGGGGGTTTCAGTGTCCCTTTAATGAGGGGATGCCCAGCCTGCCCCCAAAAATGACAAATGTCATTTCACAGAAATATTTGTTTTTCAGGAAGCCATCTTTGAGACAGATCCACATTTGTCTCAAAAAAGTTAAACTTCATTTAACAATGCTGTAAACGACTTTATATTTTGTGGACGCAATATTTCACGAACGTCAGAAAGCGTAGCTTCCAGGAATATTTTGAAATGTGGTGTGATACGATACATATTCGTTATCGTGGGGCGAAATATTTGCGAGACCAGTTATTTGCGATACACGTTTAGGTCGCAAAATATGCAGAAATCAGGTCCTTGATGCCAAACTTCTTGAGAGGCAATCTGCCGCCACATTAAAGTTCCTTCCATCTCGTTCTTCGAGCACTTCTAGTGTCGCTAACCTTTCCGCCTCTGCTCAGATCTCCGAGGCCAAGCCGAAGACGTGGAAGCAGTGTGTAGCGCAGCGGCCCGACGTGCCCGTGCGCTGCGACGCAACCCTGTACCGCAACGACGAGAAGGAGACCGAGGTGGAGAAGGCGGAGACGGTCGCGGGGTACCGGTACGGCACCACCCTGGTGCCCTTCAGCGACGAAGACAGGGACAGCCTGGAGTGCACCAGGGGAGGGCGGGGCCTCCAGGTGCTCGGCTTCACAGATGCCGCAAACGTACGTTTGTGTCGCTGTAGTCGGAGAACCAGGTAGCACAATTCTTTGGACCAAACTCCGATCTTTGTTTGGGAATTTGGGGCCTTAAAAAAAAAATGAAAGACGTTTACAATTCTTTGTAATGCCAAATTGGAACGCAGCTCTTGAGGAGGAGGAAGGAAGGGTATGGTTCCTGCTCCCCCTCTATACCCTCCCCTCTTCCTCTCCTGCTCCCGTCTCATTTAGCGGGAAATTTTCGCTAAATTTCTCGCTAAATTAAAAGAAAATTTCCAGATAAATTAAGCAAAAATTTTCCCGGTGAATTTAGGAGGGAAATTTAGCGAAAAAGTTTCTCCTAAATTTAGCCGGGAAACTGAATTGGTGTTGAGGTCACCTGACGTCATGTTTCCTATAATGATGTCGCACGTCATTATGGGAAATTATGAAAATTTTACCCTCGTGACGTCACGTGACATCGCAAGGATAAAATTTCCCCGCTAAATTTAGCCGGAAAATTTACCCGCTAAATTTAGCGAAAAAATTTCCCTGCTAAATTTAGCAAAAAACTTTCCAACCAAATTTAGCGAAAAATTTCCCCGCCAAATTTAGCGGAAAAGTTTTACCCTCGTGACGCCACGTGTGACGTCATTATGAGAAACGTCCCATAATGCAATGCGTTGTTACGCCGATGCCGACACCACTGAACCCGGAAACGTGCGCCTACGAGCTGGGCTCTAAAAGCGAGCCAAGGTAGAGCCGAACTTTCTTGGCTAAAGTCCAGAAGTCTTGGTCGTAACTCGCCAAACAAATGCCCAAGTTAGGCTTCAGCGCAGGTCATACATCCCGGGCCTAAGTCGCCAAACAGATGGCAGGGATAGGATTTACTTCTGGTTGTTCGTCTTTGTGTGGTAGCTTTGGGCCTAGATTGTGGGGCAAGTGCCATTTTTAAGCTTCACCGCTGGCTCTTCGGTTCATGAGCGGCATCTTTGGCTCAAGTCTGACACTTTGGCGATTATATGTGGCGAGCCGGAGAAACGCCGAATAAGAGCACCCTAGCGCTAACTAACGCCACGGAGCGAAATTGTATTAGGCCGAAGTTAGATCCATGAGATTGCCAAGCATTAGGCATTTCTCTGGCACGCTGCCTGGGGAGGGGCTTCGATAGACCCTTTCCAAAATTCAGTCTGGCAACCATCACCGAGTGTATGGTATCTGTCTCACTAGTGGCCGACAGAGGAATAATTCAAAGACGAGCCCCCATGCGGAGCCTGGACAGTCGCGCAGCCATGGAGAAGCCCTCTCTCCATGGTGGCGTAGCGCACGCAGTGGGCCGGCCGCCGGTAGGTGGTGTGGGCCTGGCCGCAGAGCCCACACGGGCAAACTCCGTAGAGGCTGCACGGCCGAGCTCAGTGCGGCGCGGCCACTTCACGAGAGCGCGCGCTCGGCCGTCAGTCGCTACCTCGGCAGTAGCGAAATGTCGCCGTCCATGCCACTACATTGCAGACGAACTAAGGGAGTGGAAGAACAACATTCATGCTTTCGCATTCACAACTCACAGGGAGTGCTTAGGTGTCCTTGGAATTTTTATTTTGCTGTTATTGTAGATTTGAATTATTCCTGGCATTGCAGATCAAGAGGCATTACTACATGGGCGACAAGACGTCTTACGTGCTTGCCAGGAAGGGCGACGAGGTGAGTTTTTGTTTTCACGTTGTCCTGTCGTCTGCTGCGCCATGAGACGCACAGCACGTGGTCGCCGGCACCTTGCTTCTTTATGGCACGAGACTTTGACGTCGTAGCTAGAAGAGTGTATTATTAGGCCATGTTAGGGCCAGCGTTACTGGATGCAATCAGTTGTGGAACTTCAGACATTACACAACCAAGTTAGTCTTTTTTGTCGCAGTGGCCCTGCCCGTTCGTCGGAATGTTTTCGTCTGCTGGCAAGTTTTCCCGACAAATGCCATAAATTACCAACTTTATGTTTAAAAAGATAGGCAAGCATTTCGAACCGTGTTTCATAGTTAAAACCACATGCCAAAAACATGCTGTGAGTTCTCCTTCTTACTGGGGTTCCAGAATTGAGTTTATTTGCTAATGTGCCTTTAAAAATTTAAGTCAACAACACTTTGCCACAATCTTCCTCCCGAGTACTCAGACTGTGGACCACCGATCAGGAGTTTGAACGATTAACGATTTTTTGGATGAAGATTTTGTTGCTAAGACGAAAACGTTTGTCTCTTGCAGTCCGCCGAAGCGGCCATGTCTGCTTTGATCCAAGCTCTGGACAAGTCCAAGATGGTGGCCATCGTGCGTTACGCCTTCTCGGAGCGGAGCTCTCCGCGAATGGGCTTTCTGAGTCCACGAATAAAGGATGAATATGAGGCAAGTCATTGAGCCAGATTATGTTGTGGTTGTTGTTTTCCACTTTTTGACTTACCTTGTTTTTGGACCGCCATGTTTTTGAGACTAATAGAGTTAAATAGATAAACTGTACTTGACAATCGGTCAGTGTGTATTCCTCTTTGTGATGCGGTATGCATTGTGCCACATTCAGACAAGCTGGTTTGTCATTTACTCTTTTGTTTAATCTAGCAGGCACAGTTTTGAACATTTGTGCCGGTTTTTTTCAGTAACCAGCAGAAGGATCATGGCGATTTATTGTTTGATTTAATCTGTAGCTCCAAAGTTGGTGTTCTAAGAGAAAACCAAACTAAAAAAGAAAGGTTTTTCTTTCTTTTTTGTCTTATTAAGGGGCATATTTTGGAGCACTTCATAAAGGCAGATGTAAGTGATGAGAGAGCCAAAATCACAGGGTGCTTATTGACCGTAAGAAGGCCGGGATGACGCATGGAGTGACCATTTTTCTCCGACACCCTCGTAGTGCCTGGTGTTCGTTCAACTTCCGTACATGGAGGATCTCCGTCGTTTCACCTTTGCTCCTTTGGATGCCAACAAGGACAACATACCAACCGGTAAATGTTTTTTTTTCTGCCGTGCCATGGCATTGTTTTTCACTTGCATTAGTAATAAGTGGCTGATTTCAGTTACTTCTCCCGCACCTTCATTGCATATGCTGCCAACGTGGCCCAAGGGTGTAACCTTGTTTGCTGTGCCAAGGGACTTAACTTGAACTAGGGTGGTGTCAGTTGACACGGCTCTCGAGTTACGTAGTATTAATGGCGAAATCTTTTCAGTATTCTTGAAGGGGCTTGGCGGAATTTTATGACTTTGGGATAGCATAGTCTCTTCTTTGATTGCATTCTGCATCTCCTGATAGTGATACTAATAGTGAGAACACTTTTCTTTCCCCCTTTTTGATTTTGCAGAAGAACAGCTCTCTGTCTTTGACGACCTCATAGCTGCTATGGATCTGTCTGAGGTCGAAGTGTAGGTATCCCAAACATTAGATTGATTTCTTGTATTCTTGGGCCAATTACAATCTCAATACGAATTGTTGATTCAAATCCGGTCTCAAAGAGAGCAAACAATTGATCGATAATTTACTAATGCAGGGGTTAACGTGAAGGAAAGCTGGTGGTGTATAATTAGTGAAAAACTCTGACACGTGAGAATTGTTCAAAGAAGGGGACAACACGACAATGTCTCCTTTATATTTGTTAGTAGTGCATAATACCAATACAACTCTGAGAATGTGATGTGGTGGGCGAGATTTTATGTGCTCCCGGGTGCTTTCAGTTTAAAGGTTTCCGATTCTGAGACTTCTAAATTATTTGAAGGAGCACTAATTGCTTGTGAAAAGAGTGTCACGATGGTGTTTCTGTTCTGTGCTAACGCACCAAACATTGTTTCTGGCTCTTTGAAAACAGAAACGGAGAGCCGCAAGAGCTCTTCAAGTCTAGTCAGACATGCAACCCATACCTCCAGCGTTTCTACCAGGTAGGCACGCCGAAAGAATTAAGCTTCCTCGTTCGGTATTAAAACAGACTGATCGTGTCCTTCTCTGAATGCAGTGTGTGCAGCACAGAGCACTCCACCCAAAGGATCCCCTTCCAGAGGTGGCACCACACGTCGCAGATGCACTGAAGCCACCCAAAGCGGTACGTCCGTCGTCGTCGCTCGTTCAGAAACGGCGTTGCCGAGCTATTTTATGAATGCCGTTGCAGCAAGTTCCACGGTGCTGCAGGTCGGCTAGTGGTGTCCGAACCGCTGGCCGACGTGCGGTTTCTTTCTTCTTTCGGAATCATTCGGTCTCCTCTTTTTTGAAGACCCATCAATTTCACGAGGTAAACAATTAGAGGCAGGTTTGCACATTTGCGCTTTGGTGGGACCAGGTGTGTTGCAACTGCTTGTTGTCGCTCACGGCCAGAGAACACGCTGGCACCAGGGGCAACTTGCATAGTGCCCTTTCCCCTCTTAAAGGGGCACTGACACCCCAAAGGTCGTATTTTTTTATTGTCTAAAACGATGCAAGTTGCAGTCATAGACACAAGAAAAAAAACTGCATCGTGAAAAAAAAATTTCCCGCGCGCGCGTGCGCCTTTTTATTTTTGTTGTTTGATTCTCCCGCCTCTCGCCTCCTCGCTTCTTTTGATTTGTGACGTCAAGAATCATGAAATTTAGAAGCTTTGTAGGCGACATCTCTATAACATTTAAACGGCAATCCTAAAACATGTTTTTTAACGCAACTGCGAACGCACTACGGCCCTTCTTTTTGAAATACCAAAAATCGAAGTCCGTTATGGTGCCGTCTCCTGGATTTGTATCCTCCAACGGAAAACAGGCGACAGCGCTCAAAACCGGTCCACCGGCGCTACCAGCGCTTGCTCCTTTCCTCCTCGCTTTGGGTCGCCATGGCAACAGCAGGGGGTCGTGAAAGAAAGTGGGCTCTCAGGACTCCGCAATATTTGACGTCAACGCATTAGCGCGGGAACTTCGAATTCGGTATTAGGAAATTGTTTTTTTACTTCACAAATACTAAATTCCCAAGTTTAGAATTTTGAGGGTAATGTCCCGGCATCGTTTTCAATCGTTTCGGATAATAAAAAAAAAATATGATTTTGATGTGTCAGTGCCTTTTTAAGTTCCCCAAGGTAAACTTTTTTTTTAATGCAAAAGCATTAATTGGGGGGGGGGTTTATGGAGCGAGCCGACGTCATCAGTTTGAAGCGCGCCAAACAGCACCTTAAATCCTTTCTCCGAGTGAAGCCAGCTCCCAGCTATGAAACCACGCGAAAAGCCTAGTTAAATGGCACCTAGTTTCCTCGATCCTAAAGGAGCGAAGTAAAGCTGATGGATTTCGCCTTCAATCCCAATGGCTGGCGCACGTCAACGAGGCTCCCATTGGCCGCTGCGCGTCAGTTTCAACGATCGCCGCCCCATGCCGCTGCGTGTCCGCGCTGCGAGCACGCCTGTAACACGAAGCGTCCAAAGTCAGAGCTGCGAGGAGAGCTGGGAGAGCGCACGCACGGCAGGCACAAATGCGCCGCAAACGAAACACAGGAGTAGAAGAACGGCTTGCATGCTTTGGCATTCACAACTCATAAGAAGTGCTTAGGTGTGCCTCGAGCCTTTTTATGAAGAAATTGATATACACCAGCCAAAAGTTTAGTTTTTGGTGACGTAGCATAGATTGTGTCAACAAAGTAGATCTGCGCAACGTTGTAGTCGTAACGTCTTATCTCAAGAAACGCCCCCCCCCCCTCCTCCTCTTCCTCCACACCGGCATTACAGTAAAACCTCTTCAATTCGGATCTCATGGGAATGGCAGAAATGTCAGAATTATCCAAAGGTCAAAATATTGAATGAACAAAGAAGACGGCGCGATAAGGTTGCCCTCTGACGTACATTTATTTTGAGAAGAAATCTGATATTGCCACCTGCTTTCTGAATGACATTTGGGCGGAGACGAAAACTTCTCTTAGCACACCGCACTCGCGCTGTCTAAGGCGTAGTGAAATTCCTCGAGCACAAAGAGAGCCTCGTCGACCTGGCCTCTCGCACAGTGCGGTGGGGTGGCGGCTCCTCACACGGACAGTGTTCACCTACGTCCGAAGCACGTCCGTCGTCACATAGGGCATCCCTGATCTCGTCGTCACTCAGCTGACCGGCCACAACAGCACAGTCATCAATCGCAAGGCAGTCAGCAAGTTGCACTTGGACAGAAAGGAGACCACCGAAACGGCCGTTGTTGTCTGCAGCAACGTCTCGGGTCTCCGCCGCCTGGCAAGCTTCGGACCAGGCAAAGCCGCTGTGCTTAAAACAATTTCCAATAATCTCAGCGGGCGTGTTGTTCCACATGTACGGCAAAATGTGAACCGCGCTGATGAGTGAAACTTCTAAACTTTGTATTCCTTTGCAGCCATGACGACCCACCGCAGCAAAGCCTCTTCTTGCTTAGGATGCGCCGCCTTCCGCAGCCGCTTTCTCTTCGCATTGAACTTGTTGCATTCGAAAGCCCGTAGGATCTCGGCCTCATTTTTCACGTATGTGGCCAACGTGCTTCTCTTGACATTGTACCTTTCCATCATTTGTTGTCGAGAGACGCCGCCTTTCCAGGCCCTCAGTATTTCCACTTTCGTTGCTAAATCCTTGGCCTGGTACTCCTGCCGCTTCGCTGGCGAAGCCACCATGGAGGTTGCTGCAGTTGCTGCACGTGATGACGACACCGACGACATGCCACGAGCGTGCGAACCTGTGCCAGTGAGCAAAACGCAAAACTCTCACGAAACATGGAGAACTGGAAGAGATGGGAAAAACTGGAAGAACAACATGTGCACCCCGGATGGATAGCGGTCATACCCTTTTGAACGGGTGGTAGCTTGCGCCACCTGCCAAATTCATCTGAATTAACCATAGCGTACCCAACTGCTTCCGAATTAATGAGCGTTTGGTGCCATTGACTAATACACATGTTTGACGGGACCGGATCGGCAGTTCAAATTATCCGAATTTCTGAATTGGCAGGCGTTGAATTAACAAGGTTTGACTGTACTTGAAGCCCACAGCGAAAGGTTGGTACATAGAAATTAGGAAATATGCGCAGATCAAGAGAGCCGGAGTGCATTCCCTTTCACTTAAATAAACAAAGTTAACACAGTCAGCAGCCGCAAGCAGCAGTATTGCAATTGGTCATGGCTAAACACAGATGCTTGAACGCGCCTTCGGAAGTTCTACACCTCATAGTTTTTGGATTGTGGTGGTTCATGGGAAAGGTGACGAATGACACCGACGTCTTCGCCGCCATTTTTCTCAACAGATTACCGAGCTGGCCCGTCCAGTGCTGGAGAAAATGGCCTCCCTGTTTCCTCTGCACGAAGTGGTTCCAGAGAAGCGGAAGCAGGACAACACCGTCACCAAAAAGTAATTGACTCTCGCCACTTTGTGTCCACTGCACTCCAATTTGTCTTTTTTTTTTCTTATAAACTCCAAGTTTTACAGGTTCTTCTGCCTTAGACAGACATTCTCTCCTGATTTTCTTGAAACTATACCTTCTTAGGGCATTTGTTCCGTACATTACCGCAGGTCTTTTGTGACATGGGCCTGGTTCTCAGTTTAGTGGTGACACAACGAATCCAGTGTACGTTGTTCAATGCAACGAATGCAGTGCATTGCAACATACGCATACTCCGAAGAAGCTAAAGCCCTCCATACTCCTTATTTTATGAACATAGCTGCACAGTGCTGTGCCTGTAGGTGGGCAATGCTGTGCTGCTTCTAATCAGGCTAAAAGTTTCAAGTGATTCGCCACCCTTGGCTTTTTACGTGCAGTGGTGGAGGGACTGTGACAAACGCCAGTGTCTCGTCGGACGAACCGGCTGCCAAGAAATCGCGGGCGGATTTCAGCATGGCTGACCTCGTTGCCACGGCGACAACAAAGGCAAGTTTCATTTGCTTGTGTATAGATAAGATCTGTTCCGGGAACTTAAAGTATACCAACGGAGAGTTTCTTCTCATTTCAAAGCCAATAATGTGTTTGAAACGGAATGAACTTTGTCGCTGCCTTTCAGGTAGATGTGGTGAACCCCGTGGAAGACTTTAAGAAGCTCTTGGCCGACAAAGACCATAGATTCGACGATGGCAAGGACTCATTTTCCGAGACTCACTGATTGCGTCTTTGACAGTCTGCTTGTTGTATTCTTGCATGTAGTGCTTACATCGGCTTGTTGTCATTGTGTGCTGCCTTTCTGCTTTGCAGTGTGCAGTCAACTTGAAGGGGTGATCTTGAAGCTCTTCGACGACACACTGGGCAGGGCTGTCTACGCCAAGGCAGTGCGTTGCCTCCGGGCTTACAGGGAGGCTTCGCTAGAGGTATGTTTTGGACGACTTTAATCAATAGTTCAGAGCACTATAAGTGACAGGCATCCTTTGAATCACCAGCTCAGTTCCGTCTCTTGACTGTACCCCACCATTTTGCCTGGTGACCAACTTGCAAGAAAAACTTGGATCTCCGAGAGCTTGTTTTCTGAAACTTTAGTCCTCATGTGCAAACAATATTTTTTTTTAAATGTTTTATGTTATATGTACAGTTGCCAACCGATTTTTCTTATTAGTTTGTGATTATAAGAAGCTTGAATAATCAAGTGGTCTGATAAAATGATTTCAGCTAAATGATGAAATTCCCGTGTAACTTCTGCTTCATTCTTTGATGATCGCGATTTTTCTTCACCATTGTCACTTTGCTTCGTTTGCATGCATTTGTTGGGTGTTGGCATACACAGTGAAGATAGAGGTGGTGCCATTTGGCGGTGCTTAGAGACGATGTTTAGCCGACTAAGGTAGCTGCACTACTATGCCCATTGGCAGAAAACACGTGCATCAAAAGAAACACTTGACGATTGAGAAAAATGACAGCTGTGCTGTGGCTGTTGTGGTTTGGCTCGCCTGGTGGTAGATGGCAGCCATAGCAGCTGTGGTGGAACTGTCAGATTTGACTGTAGTCTCAATGTAGCTTCTTTATTGCATAAGACGTAGAAACGATGTCACATCTTAAACTAAAATTGCAGTGATTCAGCCGAGCCCTAAAAATCGAGCAATGAGCTGTTTGCCATCTGAAATTTCAATCACTGTCATACATAATTTGTTGGGCGAGTGCCAGTCCCACGAAGACGTCCGAGCTACTGGACACGTCCGAAAAATCGGTCTGAGACCTTATTTGTACAGCATTCAGCCAATCTGCCTTCATGATTGGTATTGTGTCACCGGCGTAGAGACGATTCGGCCAGGGGCTCTAATCTGGACTCTTGGCAAAAAACTTGGTGAAGAATTCGATCGCCGTGATTTGATGGCGCCAGGGTCAGGATCGGTGCTGGCCAATCACGGCCACCGGATTCTTCTCTGACTTTTTCACCAAGTGGTCAGATTAGAGCTTCAGTGCAGTACTACCGCTAGTCTAGGAGTCTTCAACGTGCATAGTGCAGTAACGATTAGTATACATGATTGCACGTTGGTACAACGCCCGGCCCCGCCGAAACCGGCAATATTTGGTTCGCCGATTTGTGTGTCTTCAAGAGCGGCCTAATTGCACAACATGCCGGCATTTCCGCTCGCAGAAAAGCAATCCTGGGAAGTTCAACGACTTTATGAACAAGCTGAAATCTCTGTACAGCATCAAGCGGGAGGAACTTTGGGAGCTCTTGATAAAAGGTGGGTCATTACACCAGTCTTCCAACGTCGCCGTCATACGTAATGCTGCCAGCAGACGTGACCCTCGTCACAACAAACACACCTGTCCATTGGCAATGGTTCTCTACTCTCACAACTGGTAATACAGTACAATCTAAATAAAATACAAAGATACAATACTGGCCATAATGGAGTGCACATCTGACGTAGCAGACGGTGCTCCGAATCAGCCGAGGTAAAGGAAGCCTGGACCACCTCGGAATAGTGCCTGCACGGTCTGCCATTTGGTGTCATGATCTGCATTGCATCTTCCCTGACTGGATGTGTATCGACATCATACTTTCAGAGGCAGTTCAACCAGTCGGAAAAGCGGAGTGTTCCAAGAGCGCGCTGGAAGACGACGAAGTCAAGCGGTTTTATGTCGTCGAAAAGGAGGCGGAGGAAAAGAAGGAGGACGAACCAAAAGACGAGGATGATTTGGCAAGTTCTTCCTTTAAGTTTCGCGTTGCATGCTTGGCTCGAAACTACTCATAATGGATGTCTGCGGGGAAACTATGTTCCGTTCCACCCTCCAAGAGACCGCAGGGGATGCCATGAGCCATCGAAGTCGATTCAGTGACGTGCGGGTGTTGCGTGACCTTGGAGAGGGGTGCAGCGACACCACGTGGGGCAGATTAATCGCGTGATATACCTTCGCGGTGCTTGATTGGCTGGATTGACTTGTAGCGTTCAGTGCAGTCCACTTAATAAGGTGAAACAGAGTAGATAGTAGCGCTCTTTGTACCCAGCTTGAGATGTAAAGTCGAATTTATTGTCTGGATTTTTTTGCAATGGGAAGTAACCTTGAAATACAGGTATCTGGTGTCATTACTCTAAGTGGTCAATTTGGTCAGTTCTGTACGACTATACTAGCATGCGATCTTTTAATGCGCAAGGCGTGGAAGCAATTACACGAATCCATACCTACACCGGCTTTTCCTCCCGTGTAGAAGGGACATTCGGTGTAGGTATGGATTCCTTTGCCAAAGAGTTGCCGGTATGGCGAATGCTGTATGCAGCACGTGAATTCATTCGTCATAAGCAGTGGGATTTCTTAAGCTGAGGTTGCAGTTGGATTTAGCCAAATTAAATAACTGCAACAGCATTTTTTCTTTTTTTTACTTTGCAGCTGGACATGATGTGAAAGACACCAAGCCCTTGAAGTGCTCAACATGAAGCAAAGTACAATAATTCATTAGGGTCATTAACAACCACGAGATATTCATATGCATGTTCCTCGCTCGCCTATTCCAACAGAGTAAACAAATAAAGCAACAGGTCCTTTTCTTCCGTTCACAGCTCTGCTTGCAGTTTGTGTTGCTGTTTATGACCTCCACTTTGAGGTATTCGCGACTCCAGCGAACTATAGGGGATGCGCTGGTCAGGCAAAATGGCAGACAAAAGGAGATTTTCTTTGCTCAGCATGAGACCACCATAAATTCCTTGCATTGTAGTGTAAAATCGGTGTTGCATATGAAAGCGAAGCGATTTTTCGATGGTAGAAATCTTCTAGTCGGAGCGTAGGAATGACACTACGGAGGCATAAAAATAATTGCCTACTGAAAACAATGTTTGTTTCTGTGCTGCCTACGAGAACCAAACAGCAATAGCAGATGACAGTCGAAACAACCTCCTCTCCCGAGCTGCTCGGCGTTGCCGGGCGTCGGTTTTTCTGGAGTTGCCAATACCGTGAAGGCCCTTGAACCTTACTCACCAATGGGATCCCGTTTACAGGAAAAAGCAACCCAGTGTATATGTAGTGGAGATGTTCTGCTGCGAAGCTCAGAAGGAAGAGACTTGTACCTTAGAATCGACTCATAACATCCGCTGGGCTTTCACTGTAAAACAAAGTATAGAGATTGCTCCTCGACTGCGCCAACCAGGTTATCGTCTTAACTTCCAGACGATGTCGGTAATACCAGGAGCTAATTGTCGAGAAAATAATTTGCAAGTAATGCCATGGCGGCTGATGTGATATGGCGGAACAAGGGAGATCACTCGATTATCGTGTTTGCCATGTGCCTCCATTTTGTGTTACGTGTACCGCGGAAGTTGCACCGCCGGCACCTCACACTGGTGCATGCGCGTCAAGCTACACCGCTTTGCACCGTCGTGCGTGCATCGAGCTTCACTGGTTCTAGAAGCAGCGGCTGACATGGGGGGGCACCTGGGTTAGTACCATGCAGACATCTACATGTTATTAAAAAAAAGTAACTAAATATGTTATTGATTCCAGGGTCTCTAGCGACCGGGAAAACCGGGAACTCGGAGAGATTTTAATTACCGGGAAAGATAAGAGAATTGCCAGCAATATTCTTAAAAAGTGAGCCCAGTCAGAGAAAATGATCTGGAAACGCCATCGAGTGCCCTGAGCAAAGACCTGAGGACTTGGGGGCAGAAAAATAGGCAATAAATTATGCTCAGAGTGGAGCGCAAGCTCTGCTCATCCGATGTAGAGTTTGCTAACCGATGCAAAGGGAACATCCGACAAATCCAGTCCAAGCCTTGGAGTGGATTGCATTCGATTGAGGGCGGGACACTAGGCTAGATCCAGTTAGATTTATTAGATTTAGTGACAAATGGGAAAAAAGCGCACTGAACGGTGTAACTTAATGACACTTTCCTTTTCTCGAATTTTGCTTTATTTTAAAAGTTATAGCAGCTTTGTCTTGCGGTTCAAACGTTTCGCGGTATGGGCAGCGCTAAGTGGCTCCCGTTCTGAACTGATTTTTATGCCGTGTTTGCTGTCGTTTGTGGCCAATAAAGTGTCATGCCGAATTAGGGTTTAATCGCGCAGCAAATGCAATGCGAGCCGCCCTGGCTGCTCGCTTCATACAGCCTATCCAGAACATGCTTTAGTGGCGCCCTCTCGAGCCGTCGACACGGAGTGCGGCTGCCGTGAGCGCTCGCTGAGCTCACTACCCCTCCTCTAGTTCACGGCCACTCAAGCGACCAAGGACCAGTGTTGCCATCTTTTTTTTTTTGCGCGCGCCGCTAAATTGAGACCAGGAAGTCACTAAGCAGTCGCTAGATTCACCGGGAAGTCGCTAAACTATTCGCTGAATTCCAAAAGCTTATTATACCCTTTTAAAGTAAGTGAACCTCAAATAATCATATCTCAAGTATTTTGAGAGGCTAAATTTACACTGAAAAACAACTAGGACTTTTTTATTTGTAATGTTTTTTTCTGAAACGACTAGGGCGGTAAGTACGAAAGTACGAATAAGAAACGGGCATTTGTTAATTTTTACACGAAAACAATGACTGCTTTGTCTTCAAGAACAGTTCAACGGAACAGTCCAGAAGAAGAAGAGTTCTTCCTCGATGGTGACTGCACTCAAGTCACCTGAATCTGCCGGTGTCGATGGTTCGTTGCCAGCTTTGTAGGCTTCTGGAAGTTCGTAGTCGAAACACGTTTTTGCGGTCCTTTTGAGGCCAGCTCTTATAGTCAAGATGACGTTTGGTGGAGAGCAGGTGGGTACGTGGGCGCGGGAGAGATGGTCTGCAGTGTTAACAGTGTTGACATTTTTTTTAGCGCCACTAAATTGAGCACATACCCAAAGCAATCTCGACTAGAGAAGCAAAAGGGTTTAGCAGGTTTAGCCTGCGAGCATCTTTAAAATTGTTCAAAATAACAAGATTACGGTTGAACACCAAAGTCGCTAAAAAAAGTCGCTAACCGCTAAATTAAAAAAATCCGTCGCTAAATGTATAAAAAATCGCTAAATCTAGCGACAAAATCGCTAAAATGGCAACACTGCCAAGGACGTCATAAAGGAGGTTATTAATGCGAAATCATTAACTGTCTCATGGAGCGAGCTGACGTCATCAGTTTGAAGCGCGAAAACGGCTCCTAGTTTCCGAGATTTTGCCTTCAGTTCCATTGGCTGGCGCGCGTCGACGGGCGCCAGCCAATGGCGCCCGGCGCCTGTCTGTGCTAGAGTCACTAAATAAAGCTACGCTTTGAAAGCGTAGATTATTTAGTGACTACACACTCAGTCGCCGTCACCAAAAGTTCCTTCAAGGACTCCACAGAAACTTGAAATAAGCAGGATGACCTAGACACGTCAAAGCCGCCCCTTGGGAACTGGCCAGCCGGCCCGAGCGTCTCAGGACTTTGGGAGATTTCCTCGGTCAGAACATGAACAACGCCCTTGAGTTCCTCTGTGCCAGCTCAACTTTCAAAATACCAGGATCGTGGGGAGGGCCCCTGAAAAAGCTGCGAAGGAAGTGCTTGAAGCGTATGCTATAAAGAAAGGGCACCAAAGGCTGCGTTAGCCAGCCGTCAATTTTTCTGCATAAAAAAAAAATAATGATTTTATTGGCGCGTGGTGATGGAGTGACGTCACTGAGTGATTCAGTGTATTTTTTTTTTCATCGGAGGTGGTTCAGTTGCGAGTAAGCGCTCGTCCTGCTCGCCTTCCTTTTTGTCCTTGTCTTTGTTAGCACTGTTAGTCCTAGGTGCACGACTGTGCACCTGGGATAGACAAATGCAGATAAAACAAAATTGGCGTTCGTCCGCAGCTTGCGCGTTAAACTGCTAAACTAACCTGAAAAAAGAAAAAAAAAAAAACATCGAATTTTGAAATGGAAGTTGACGCCCATCGTCGATATCGCCTGCCGTGGCACATGCACTTTTTTCTTTATATTTTTTTTACGGTACCGTGGCGATTCTTCAAGTCACCCGAAGGCTGGTGTTGCTTTATTTGGTTTCTCGCATTCTGCTCCCCCATCAATCGAATCGCAGTTGCTCTCCTTCTCGACGTTATGATTATGCGTGCACGCCCTGCGGCATCGAATGCCAGCGCGACGTCGACGATGTTTTATCACCCGGCATAATCACGTTCACCTTTTTTTTATACATTTTCTTTTTTGCATGCGGTCTGCGCAGGCCAGACATAATAGGCAGTTTTAGTAGATCGATCCGATGACTCTGATAACGGGAGCCGATACTGCGTGGACCCTTTCTTTGCGTGTGCAGCTTGTCGTTATCGGACGGGTGTCGATCTACTAAAAGTCGATATAGGGAGCTACGATATGTCGGATAATTAGAGAGTTTTAGTAGATCGTACCGATACCCCCGATAGCTCCGATAACGATACTATGCATGCGCAAGGGAGGCGGTAGAGAGTTTTAGTAGATCGTTGCGATACCTCCGATAGCCCCGATAACGATACTGTGCATGCACAAGGGAGGCGGTGGCGGAGTATCGGGTATCGTTATCGGAGTCATGGGAACGATCTACTAAAACTCTCTGGTGGCGAAGTATCGGGATATCGTTATCGGAGTCATGGGAACGATCTACTAAAACTCTCTATTAACGGACTGGCCGTGCGAAGACGCGGACGACGAGGACTGTCGTGCACGTTTTCGTATCGCTAGACTTGCGCTTGTTGCACGATTGGTACACCCTCAGAAAAAAAAATGGGTGTATTGTTACACCCTTTGTCCCTTGTAAGACACCCCCAAAAGTTCAGTTGGACTTACAGCGTACTGACGTGATCTGATGGTTCCAACTTTCACGAGGGGCTTGATAGCCGTGTGGTACAACTTATCAAACTAGCTCTCGTACTTGTTACTGACTACAAAGAAGAAAAAAAATCTGAGTTTTCTTGATTTTACTGCAAAACCCGGTGGTTTCTTTTTGTGGTCTTTGATACGTACTTTAGCTATTGAATAAGTTAGATCGATCGGTACTGTTATCAAGCCCCTCTTAAAATTTGGGGTCGTCTGTTCGACTATAGTGCGCTCTACGTGGAACTCAAGTTTAGGGCTGCATTATATGGGACAAAAGGGTGTTATATGACACCTTTTGGCTTTAGAGTGTAACTAGCGCACCACCGCGCTCCGCACACGCTCGCATTTTTTTTTTCTCTCATTAGATACTGATTTACAAGTTTTTGATGACTCTCGGTAAGTTTCTTATTTCAACCATGTTTGTTTTCGCAAATTAAAAAAAAAAAAACAAAAAACTTAACAAATTTTAGTTAATTATCCAACTTATTGTAACGATTACCTACCTAGTTGTCCCCCTGGCCGCTGTACCGACCTTAGGGGTGAGTACCGTGCGATATATGTATATATCCGCCGTTATTTTGACTTTCGGCGGGTTCTTAAAACTTTGATTCATTGGTTTAAGTACGGTTCATTCATCTGCATATGTTCATTTATATATATATATATATATATATATATATATATATATATATATATATATATATATATATATATATATATATATATATATATATACCGGGTGTGAAAGTTACACTTATGCCGCTTGTGGAGGCAAGTTATAC